ACCAGCAAGAATCACAAGAAATAACTAGGAATCTTAAAAATGGCAGTTATGCAATCGGAAATGTTTTTTCAAACTAGATTGTATTTCAATGCACTGAATCCAAATCAGAATTTTATATTTAGCTTGTCGTTCATGCGAATTTGGAGTAAATTGTGAAAAACCGCTTCAATTCGCTAAATAATTGGGAAAATACTATCCATGGAAACGAAAAAAATTCTTATGTTTGGTGGAGTATTTTTCTGATGTATTTTGACCCTGACCGGATGCTGATACTGGGGCTTCGAATCCCTGCATCGTAAAGCACGTATCGCTTGTGCTTGCCATGATAGCATTCTCGCCGTTAACTCAGGTACTCTGCTAACGCTGATGTTGTCCACCCTCACCACGTAGAGGTGCCCTGGTTACAGGAACCAGCGAAAGATCTATCAACGATATCTTCCTTACTCTTGACTGCTTTCCTCCGAATCTTGGAAACTATAATGAAGAACAAGTAGAACGATTCACCAAGAGATATAAGAAATGGGAAATCGGTATCCAGGAAGGTAGAGCGTCAATACGATGCCAGATTTTTGCTTGCATGATTGGCATTTTTCACAATTTTTAGTTATTTGAAGCGGCTTTAACATTATTGAGATGTAAGCCATCAAGACGTATATACTCATCCAATCTAGACTTCAAATTCGTGAAAACTCGTCACATGGCTCGTGGGATAGCGGACATCTTGCGAAAATTGTTTTTGAGCTGGGAAATCGTCATCGGCTTTTTGGCGTAAGCGCGGCTCTTGAGGTACCCCCAGAGAAAAAAAGACAATGGCGTGAGATCTGGGAACCGAGGTGGCACGGCATGTCCCCTCGTCGCGGCATCAGTTTTCCACCAGATATTTCGTTTACAACTGCTAAAGACTAGTTGGCTGTATGGGATGTCGCGTCATCTCATTGAAACCAGATTTTGCTATTATAGACTTCAAAATTATACAGTTGTGGAAAGAAAAAACTTACGCACGCTGCTTGTCACCGGCCAAACTCTCCTTGGCGACTAAATTTCCCACGACCCGCGACCCGCATGCATGACACAAGCAATGTGGTTTAGAGGTTCGTACGCCTTTCTGGCCCGCCCTGTATTTTTCGGTTCCATAACTGCAATTCTTTAGATTTTAGCGAATTCTGACGACTTTTGGCATTGTTTTGATATTTACTTGAAACATGGAGGGTCGTCGAGCTAAACAATTTGTCTTTGCGCATTGAAATACATAAATATGTTTTATCTAGGTCGAAAAAGATTTTTTCGTTTGCATAAGTATCAGGTAACCAAATAAGTTCGTGCGGTTTTTAGGAGAAAAATATAAATTTTTATTGACAATCAATAAGACGTTATTTATTCGTCGAAGTAATTACCATCACATTCAATGACCTTTTGCCAACGTGGATCCAATTTTTGTATGCCGGTATTGTAGAACTCTCTGGAAATGGAGTAAAAAAATTGGCGGACTGCATTTATTACACCATATCGAGTTGTGAACTGTCGGTGCCTCATACAGTTGTCAAGAGATAAAAAAAAAGGTGATAATCACTGGGCGAAATGTTGGGAGAATATGGCGGGTGCGGTAACGTTTCCCAGCCGAGTTCAGAGATTTTTTCTCGGCTCACTTTATGAGGCTTGGCGTTATCCTGCAACAATATCACTTTCTTCCGATTGATCAATGAAGGCTGTTTCTGGATGAGCGCTGCTTGTACTCGCAATACAAGTTAGCAGTGATGGTTTGACCCCTTTCCAAAAACTCATAATGGACAATTCCAGTTGCTGTCCACCAAACACACAACAAAACCTTGTTTGGGTGCAAGGAAGCCTTGGGCGTGTGTGGTGCCGAATCAGTAGGCGACAACCAATGACACGAACGCTTAGAATTCGAATACAAGATCCATTTTTCGTCGCAGATTAATAACTTCATTAGCGTTGCGTGAAATGTTTGCTGAACAAATGCTAAGACGGCTTAATTTGTTATCCTTTGTCAGTTCATGTGGGACCCATTTGCTTACTTCCACGTCTTTCCTAGCTGATGAAGATGCAAACGAATAGTTTCAGGACTCACTCTGAAGATTTCTGCAAGTTCTTAGCACGTTGTCCTGGAACTTGCGTCCACAACCTGTCGGAAGATCCTCGTTGTTCATGATTTTTGATCTCCCTGAGCGCGGTTTATCGCTTAAACTGAGCTCTCCCGAAGAAATTTTTTTAACCACTTCTGTGCTGTTCGATTACTAACGGCATCTTCTCCGAATGCGGTACATATTTTTCGCGCCACCGCTGCAGCTTTTGTACCAAGTTTGTACTCATACAGTAAACAACTTCGATATACTGTTTTATCCGTCACCATTTTCAATTATTAAAAGGTATGTAACAATCTTCAGCAACTTTTTATGTGTGTGAGAAAAGAACGATTCATATTAAAGTGACAACAGGTAACAAACCGCTATCGATCAACAACATCCATGGCAATGTGCGATATACAGCAACCGCACGAACTTATTTGGTTACCTGATACAACTGTTTTCGAATTTTAGCAATTTTTAGCGGTTTTTTACATTTTACTCAAAACTTTGAGGGTGTGAAGGGATCTCAAATTTGATCTCGTTTCTCTTGGACGTTTTTCAATGTTTAGTTTTGACAACCATTTTAACACTCATTATCTAAATAAAAAAAATAATTGGATTATATAATATCTTCCGATTATTTTCATAGGATTCCTGTATACGAGGGTACTCGACAGAATATCGTCACAGTGCTTTACATCAAAGATCTCGCGTTCGTCGATCCTGACGATAACACTCCATTGAAGACTCTCTGCCAGTTCTACCAAAATCCTTGCAACTTCGTTTTTGAAGATGTTACGCTTGACGTCATGTTCAGAATCTTCAAGGTAAATTTTGATAGCTTTGTGTTTTAGGCAATAAACTTGGAAGCAACTATTGAGATAAGTCGAAAATAGCTACCAGAACTGTTTGAAAGTGATATTTAGGATTGTGGCTTGAAAGGTTGACTGTTATCGTATCGAGATGTGGATATGAAAAAGGGAAGCATCATTTGTTTGACACTATTAATGAGCGGTATTTTTAATGGGCTATAAAAAAATCTCACGTAGTAGCTTGACTCTGACCGATTTTCAAAAACTACTACTACTTTTTCATACAAGTCTGAGCAGTACTTTTCAAGTTATAGACGGACCAAAGATTAGCGGACAGACAGAGGCAGACGGACCGACATACCGACGGAAATGAGTGATATGATTTTTCGTGATGTGCATGTCGTATAACATCGAAACATCATATCTTTTTTCCGAAATTTTTCGCTATTGTATTACTTCCTTGCCAGTTGGGTAGGAAGTAAAACATACAGTAATGGACAAAAGTATATAGACAAATAGCTAAATACCTTTAGAAAACGAATTCATACCTCATTGCTCCATAAACAAATGCGTTATTAGTAGAAAAACTAAATTCCTTGTTTTTACATTATCTGCAATGAACACAAGACTGGTCTGAATATAAGCACTTTTTTATGAGGGACAAAAATATGTAGACAAATTCTTTTCAACATTAGTTTAGTACAGTTTCGTGTCAGAAGAGGATTAGTTTGTGTTCATCAAGTATTGTGGAATAAGTTGAGTGATTTTAAGACCATGCCGCGTCGTCCAGAAACTTATTTCGATGTGAAAACTAAGATCATTGAGTTATACAAAGATGGTCAACGTCAAGTCGATATTGCCAAAAATTTTAAAGCTGATGCGTAAAGCAGTTTGGGCAATATTGAACAAATATAAACAAAAAGATATCTTGGAAGCCTCTAAGAGAAGCGGTCGGCCTAGAAAGCTAAATGCTAGATCAGTTAGATTAATAAAAGTAATTTCGTCCAAAGATCCGTTTAAAAACCCAAGACAAATAAAAGCCGAAACCGAGTCAGTGTTTCTACGAAAACTATATCTAGAAGATTAAATGATTTGAAGTTATTTGCACGTCGCCCGAGTAAGAAGCCGCTAATCTCGAGGAAAAACCGTAAGGACCGATTACAATTTGCACGGTTGCATCTTGATTGGAGCATCTGTGACTGGAAGAGGGTATGTTTCAGTGACGAATCCAGGTTCATTATGTTCTAATCAGATGGTGTTCATTACGTTAGACGTCCTAGTGGACAAAGGTTGAACCCCAAGTACACTTTGCCCACTGTCAAACATGGAGGCTGGTCTGTTATGGTTTGGGGGTGCTTTTCGGGGTTTGGGATGGGACCTTTACATAGAATAGATGGTATCATGGATAAGTTTGTATACACAGTCATACTAAAGCATGTCATGACACCTTATATGGAAGACAATATGCCCGTAACATCAATCTTCCAGCAAGATAATGACCCGAAGCACACTTCAAATCTCGCAAAGAAATTATTTCTGGATGAAAAAATACCAGTTCTCAAATGGCCTTCACAGTGTCCCGATATAAACCCCATTGAAAATCTATGGGAATACTTAGATAAGCAAATACGAGATAAAAATTATTCAAACAAGGATGAACTTTTTGCCGCTTTAGAGAAAAAGTGGAGACAGATTGATGAATCTTATATCAAGAAACTTCTACAATCTATGCCGAGACGATGCCAGGCGGTGATTGATCATAATGGTTATGCTACAAAATATTAACACAAACAGTTGGTTTTCTATAATTCAATGAACTTTGCTTCTTTTTTATATAATTGTTTTGCTTTGTCTAAATATTTTTGTCCCTCATAGTTCCAGATTTTTTCAATTAATTTTTTATTGAAGGGAGTCTAATGAATTTATTTATGTATAAGTGAGTATTATGCTATAACGAATTATGTATACAGATTGGTGTATTAATAAAACAAGTTAAAAAAGCAATACAGCACAATATTAATTTGTCTATATAATTTTGTCCATTACTGTATAACAGTTAGAATGATGATATGATGTATGTCTTTGTCAGTAAAGTGATATAATTTTACCTCAAATTCGTGAAACATTCTCCATGTTTGGATGTTTGCCAAGGTAACTGACCCATTTTGGTGATAGGTATGAATGACTATTACACTGCCGGCATATGGAAAGTTATTTTTATAATTGTTTATTATGGTATAAAAGTGCACGTGTTGTTGCGGAACGTAATTTTTATACCTGCTGATACAATTTTATTTAGTCCAAATAAATATTTAATTAAATACATACTAAGTAACTAAGAATAAAGAGCACCCAGTAATGATGAATTTATTATAGGATTTCTAGGTATATGTTTGTTTAGGTTAGGACAGCTTTTCAACCATATCGATAGTGGTTTTTATGATATCGTCTGTTCTTACAAAAGAAGTAAGCGAGAGATAGTTGTGTTTTGTAGCTACAACTGGCATCGTCATCGTCACTCTCCGTCAGAGCGTCCGTGGGACCTTCGCTCTTTGTTCGTCAGGTCTGGTTGCCAGATACCAGACGAAAGAAAGGAAGGAACAGAGAAGAGCAAAATTATTTTAGGAATTTGTATGTGTGGCTTAAATCGTAATTTTGGGTGGACCTAGAATTGCACGATTTGATTTTGTTCACAGTGCGAGCCGCGGTCTTATATGCTTGCGAACAGGAAGATGTCTGAATGGCGGACAGATGGCAGATGACAACCCTACTCTTGTACTCTTAGGGTACAGCCTAAAAGTGATTAAAACATTAAATCTAATTTATAAATGAACAATTTATTGTTAAATAACAAAATTATTTCTTCTTTTTTGTCTCCCTGCGAATCCATTAATATTGATACTTACCACCTCCTTTGAATCCAGTGCAACAACTTTTTTGTGGTTTTATCTGTTATAGTGGCGGATTTAAGTAACGGCAAAATGGACATTGCCACCTGGCCGCCAACCGCCCCCCCCCTTAAGGATGAGTGGTCACAGGGCAAAAATCAGCTCTAGTGTCTATATTGTTCAGGGCGACTGAATGTAAAATGAATAACAAGAAATCAGAGTGTTGTTATATTCTTTTAATGACCATCAGCGTAATGTTTATGAAACAGCGCGTTAGCATTCACTTTGAATAATAATAATATTATTACCTGGCATAAAATGTTCAGAAAATAAATATCTTCATGGTATGAATCAGTCTAATAAAAACTCTAATGCGTCTATTGCAGTCTTTTCACGTCTTCAATGCTTATAACCATAAAATTTCACAATACTGTGCATTTGTTCATTTGATGACATATCTATTTTCTTCATCGTGGAAGAATTTTTTAAAGTAGTATCAATTGCATAGAAGAAGAAGAGTGGGAGCTTCTGGCGAAGATATAATGAATGCAAGATCTCTCCTTTCCTCCGTGAACTGAACCTTTTTCCTCAATTTGTTATGGTGGCATTCAGTATTGAGCGTAATGAATACTGTGCAAGTTCAAATGCAAAAGAAAGAATTAGACTTGATGATGGGTCAAAGGTGCATTTCAGCAGCATTAAAAAAATTAAAAGATTTGAGCTAATACACTCAATTTGGATTCTGAAATGGAAGTTTTTGCTGAACGAAAAGCAATACGCGGATTCAAATAGAATAACTCTGTTATTTTGTATTGAATAAAAATTTTTTGATCTCACAGTCTCTACTTGATTCAGGTTATAGTATAGACATATATTAAAAAAACGGAGGTAACAGTGCTCAGCAGCTACTATTGTGCTTTTAATTGTAAGACCCTGTTAATATGTGACATCCTTATTGCCAGCAGAATCCGTAGTTCGAACTTTTTCCGAACAATTTAGATGGATTTTACGTTATCGAAAAATTTTAGATCCGCGTGAATATTGAAACAGCTGAATTAGCTGTTTTATTGGCACGTTGAAGCAGCATCAGATTAACCTTTTGCATCAAATTACTATTAAAAAACCTTTTGCACTATCCATGAGCTTGTTTCGATTACTTGTGCAGGTCAATTTTTTTTATTCTCTGTTGCCGTCATTAATTTGCAAATAGCGATCAATGTGGAGAATATCACTTTCGCAAATAGTGCCTAGAATATATCCTGTAGTAATGCACGTTATTTAACGTATTTTAGTGTTGTTCACCAAGTTTGTATTCAATGAAATATTAATCACGGTACACATAACTATCGATCATATTTGTTTTTTTTAATTATAATTTTATGCAAATTCTATAAATAGCGTGCACTCCAAATTTGACTCGACGGCCTTTACTTATCGGTAGCATCCGTGATAGCTTTTAAACTCTATTATGCACAAGAAGTTTGCTGGTGAATCATCAAGTTTAATTTACTTCAAAAAATTACGATTCGCATTACAACCTGTCCCGTGTCCACTATTAAATGCAAAAACCAGGCTGATGTACGATTGCACTTGACATGACATTACGCATTAAATTTTGATATTAATTTCCGAGTTATCATGCAACTTTCAAAGTTTCCATTGAACCCCCCCCCAGCGCGCGAAGAAGTTTTTCCTACATCAAGCTGACCGCATAGGCAACCAGCCTTGCGCTATCATTTATGAGCTTACAGTTAAATCAAAGTTTACGGATGCAGTGTTGCCAGTTTTTAGTTGAAAATACCAGTACGGCATCCATTTAATATGTGTGCATTACAGATTTATCTAAGATTTGGAACTTTAAAAATTGGTGGTCGAACTAAATTCGCCTACTTGCTCGCCTGTGTAGTCTACTGACTCACGCAAAAGAAGGTTGCTGTTGGATTGCGCTTGACTATAACGTAACTGCGCCTGTTGTTTGATGTAGTCCCTTAGATAATGGATGTCGATGTCTGTGTGAAGGGTCTCTTTGGAGACACACCATGGTGCGTTAGTGGCTCTGTTCTGCAAAACAGATTACGCATAGGCGTTTTAGCGAGAAAACACCATGCTGTACATGCCTAAGTGATTGCTGGTCTGATAACCATCTTGTATAGCCGAACTTTGTTGACCAAACCGATTTTGAGAATCGGCATCTACAATACGTTGTGAAGAGCTGCTTTATCATAATGCCTAGAATGAGAAGACTAGAAAACTTTCAACAGCTTAGCCAATTTGATAGTGGGCGAATGTGGAGCTTGCGTGAGGCTGGTTGTTCCTTTAGAGAGATAGCCACCAGGGTGCGCATAAGTCTAAATACAGTGTTTCGTTGTCAGGCATGGAATCAGAACCGCTTTCCAGTGCCTCATTTGCGTAACTCAGAGCTACCCACCCTGTCACTAGTGTTCCAGTGCTCTAGAATGTCTTGCTCCTGAGATACTCATTTTTGAAATGCCCTGCCCCCTCATGCACCAGCTTTTCATGCGGTGTTATACGCTCCGAAATAGTGGGGATAACGAAAATGACAATGTGTCAAAATTGTTAGGTTATGTTTTTTCATCGTTTTTTTTTTCATTGAATCCACATTAAACCGATACCAGACAATGGAGGATGGTAAAAAACTGATAATATTATGACCCAGACTCACATCGTTGATGTTCCTGAATAATAAAGATCACAAGAGAGTGCAAGAATGCAGGTTCATTGTAGATTGTAGTTGGCTTCATCTATAACTAGATACTTTGAATATAATTTTGAATATCTACACTAAAATATGAATTCGACGCTTTATCCAGAAGCTTTAAAATAAAAATGCAGACCTCTGACGTATTGCGCCATCATGCTAGAAGCATCATCAGGCATCAATTGGATAGTCTGACAATGCTTCTGAAAATGAAGGCACAATGTGCTTACATTTTCATTGTTTGGCAGTGTGATACAAATTGTCAACGTCAAAGCAAAACATAAAAAAACACGTTAGGTTTTTATCGCCGCGTACCCGTCCATATTTGCTAGAACAGTTCGGGAGCGTCACACTCTGGGTGCATACAACTCTCAATTCAAAAGCACTGGAAAGAGGCTCAGGAAGGTTGTTTACATAAAGTAAGAGGTTCAGGACGTATCAGAAGAGCGCCGCCTTAGGCTCTTGGCACTACGGAACCGCTTCTCGTCCACAAGGTCATTTGGGCACCAATCGTTTGGAGAAAATGGAAAGCCTATTATAATGCAAACTGTTTATCGTTGGATTAGAAGTTTTAGAATTACTTCATACCGTCCTTAGTTAGTCCTACCTTTCACTCCTGGGCCCTGAAGTGATAGACTGCCTTGGTGCAGAGTACGGCTGAACTGGGACCTCGAATGGAATACTACTGTCTTTAGTGATGAATGTAGATTCTGTTTGGGATGCATGATGAGGTGAAAGACGCGATTCTTAATTTTCTATGGAAACGCATGCGCAACACACTGTTGGAATTATGGAATCGGGACTATTGCTTATACAGGGAGGCCGATATGTAACTGACTGGTTTGTATCTTTCATATTTGTGAAATGAAATAAAATACGTCCATTTTTTTCATCTTAATCTTTTATTGAAATTTAGAAATTGTCTATGAAAAATAATATCAGACAAATGTCCGCCTCTAGAAGCCGCGCAAACCTGAGCTATCTTGACTACATTTCCATCACTTTTTTGTAGATCTCTGGAGGAATATTATCGCTACTTTTTAAAAATCTCCATAAAAAAGTCAGGAGCCGTTAAATCCGGTGACCTTGGTAACCAGTTATCGCCAATTCGAGAAATTAAACGCGCCGGAAATATTGGACATATGTGCACATAAGGTGCCACTACTGAATTGGCTCGCAATTTAAATCAGTAGAAGCGGGTTACCTTTGGTGTTCATCAGAGACATCAAGACCGCCGTGCGTTACATCCAAGAGGTTAGGGAACCACATATTTTGCCTTATATATGAACGCTCATCAACTTTTCCAACAAGATAATGCGCGATCACATATAGCCATTACGTTGGTCAAAAGACAATCAAGTCGATTTGTTGCCTTGGCCCCTAGATTTCCCTCTCATTGAACACGTGTGAGTCACCGTTTACTCCATACACCACAGACTCCAACGGCACTTCGGCATGAGGTACTAGTAGCCTGGTATGAGATACCTCAAGAGGAAATCGATCATCTGATTAGGAGTATGCCCAGACTTGTTTCTGAGTGCATAAGACATCGTGGAGGCCCAACAGATTATAATTTTTTGCATTTTTTTCAAGTTTGATTTTTTCTGAAATTTTGATAATTACTTACCGTATGTATACAAAATAATGTTGTAATGTATTTATTATTACTGGGTGTTCTTTTTTTCTATATCACTTAGTATAGACAATGTAATGAATGATAATTTCAGGAAGGTAATAAGGGTCACATGGCCTTCGTCCAAAGGGTAAACAATGAAGGCGAGGGTGATCCATTCTACGAAACCATTGGCTTGATCACGTTAGAGGATGTTATTGAGGAACTTATACAAGCTGAAATTATGGATGAGACAGATGTATTCAGTAAGAATATTTTATTAATTGCATGTAGGAAGATTTTTACTATTATGTATGCAGGTCACTTTGTTACATCCGTTAAATGTTTGCAAGCTTTGAATACATTATAGTGTTTAGAACATGTCTGTTGATCTGAATCAGTGACGTAATTCTGGTAAATAAAGGTTTTTCAATATTATTATTTACAGAGTTCACGATGTCATGATTGGTTTTGCGGTCAAATAAATAAATGTCCTATAGATCATTTAGATGGCAGACAATGATGTGTTGTATATAAGAATCTCAAGTATATGAATATCTCGATAACAAATTATCGTATTGCAGCTGATAATCGTACGAAAAGAAGAAGGAATGCAGAACGTAAGCAAGATTTCACGATATTCGCTGAAAAACGTGGAGATACCAGTAAAATGAGGATTAGTCCCCAATTGACACTTGCTGCATATCAGTTCTTAAGCACCAGTAAGTATATATTTCCCAAATTTTGAATATTTCGAAAATTTTGAAAGGTTTGAAAAGTTTTTTTGACAGCGATAACTGATGAGGATAGTTGGAAAAACAAGAGTTCTTATGACCACTAAAGTAAACCGAGATAACTTCATAGTTCCGACTATTGACAGTTTTGACAGGCTGCAAGCTAACCCCAAAATTTCAAAATGTTTAATTTGTTAATTTGAACGTTTCGCTAATAGAGAGTCTTAGAGGTTAAGCCTTCCCTTACATTATTTATGACAGCAATGTCGATGAGCGGTCTGTGGTAATTTGACAGTACTGACTCCTGGCAGACATAACATCTTGCTTTTTTCGATTTTGACGTAACCCCAACATTTCAAAACCAGTAAAATGAGGATTAGTCCTCAATTGACCCTTGGTGCATATCAGTTCTTAAGCACCAGTAAGTATATATTTTCCAAATTTTGAATCTTTCGAAAATTTTGAAAGGTTTGAAAAGTTTTTTTGACAGCAACGACTGATAAGGATAGTTGGAAAAACAAGAGCTCTTTTGACTACTAAAGTCAACCGAGATAACTTCATAGTTCTGACTATTGATAACCCCAAAATTTCAAAATGTTTAATTTGTTAATTTGAACGATTCACTAATAGAGAGTCTTTGAGAGTTATGCCTTCCGTTACGTTATTTATGACAGCAATGTCGATAAAAAATAGTTCTTATGACTACTAGAGTGGTCCGTGGTAATTTGACAGTACTGACTCCTTTTTTTTATTAGAGAAAAGTTTCTGTAATATTTGTGTCCAAACCGAACAAAAAATGAATAGGCTTAGAATCATAGAACCCTATGGGGACAAGTGACCATAAAACCAACAAAACGAGGACAATTCAATTTATTTGGGACACTGCCCATTTCTTGCATTTATTTTTATCTGATTTGATTAAATATTTATTGATAGTAAACTAAAGTTTGGGGATCACTATGAATAGCTTATTTCAAAAATTGCCAAAAAAAAAACAAATTACTTTTATAGGGCTTCCCATAGTCTTTGTACCTATTTATAATACAATTATTCTACCGCATTGACTGTATTGTTCAACTATCGTGTTCACTGCCAATGAAGCTGTATTCTCAAAATTACAAGTCTTGCATAATAAAGCTATGAGATTAATATTGAATAAAAATAAGTACACCAAAATAAAATCTATGTTACAAGAATTGCAGTGGCTGAATATAAAAAATTTCATATCATATTTGGTTCTTATTTTTATATTTAAAATAAAAAATCATCTTTTGCCAGAACATTTAGAACACTACATAGAATTGAATAATCATTACCATAATTATTATACAAGAGGAAATATAGATTTTCATTTACAAAATTGCAATAGTAATATAACTAGCAAATCAATATTTCAGAAAGGATTACTTGAATTTAATTAACTAAATAATGATATAAAGTATTTGTAATTTAAAGATATTTAAAAGAAAATTAAAGGAATATTTCATGGAAAATGAAAATTCTTAGAGATGCAAATTTTGTTTTTTCCAGAATTTCTGTATATTGTGTAATTGTTTAGTTTTTTAGAAGAATGTAAGTTTAGCAATCATGCTAAATAAATCTTAAACAAACTAAAACTCCTATTTCTATTATATTTTAACCAATATGTTTTTATAACTTTAAATTATTTTAATTAAGCTTACCCAGCTTTACGGATTCCGGCAACAGCGCTCAGTAACGATAAAATAGAAACTTGGAACTTTTTTATTTCGATAACGGAGAGCGAAGGTTTACGTCGCTACTGCGCAAAATCTGAACAAGGAAGATCATAACGAAGCAGCAAAGCAAGAGCACTAAAAATTCTCACATAACTTTGATCCGCAAAATGTGTTAAGAAGACAGGACCCAACGATATAGCTAGCAGGGCTATACTCAGGAATAGAAAACGAAGGGAGTAGCGAAACACACCGCACGCCTATGCTAACGCGGCATCATTTCGAATTAGCAAATTCGGCGCGCGGGTGTCTCACCATTTTTAAAAATATGACAGGTTAGCATGGGCGTGCGATGTGTTTTTCTGCTTTCTTCCTTCTCGGTTCTAGTCCTAGTAAGATTTACATCTAATCTTATTATTATCATTCCATAGCCGTGGAACCGTTCCACCCGAACTTGATCAGTGAAACAATCTTGCGTCGTCTCCTGAAGCAAGACATAGTGTACCATATAAGGAAAAACAAGGAATGGCGCACGGATCCTTCGTGCATCATCTACGACCAAGGCAGAGCAGTTGATTATTTCGTGATCATCCTGGAAGGTAGAGTGGAAGTGACTGTTGGAAAAGAGAGCTTGCGATTCGAAGGTGGACCGTTTACATACTTTGGAACTCAGGCATTGGTACAAACTGTTGGAATAAGTAAGTTGCTTTGAGAATGTTATTAAAATGTTTGAGTTGAAAGGAAAGCACCAAACTAGTATTCTGCTACCTCTATAAGTTTGACAATGGAGTCTGATACGGACCGACTGAAGGCTCGGTTCGAGCACATGTATTTCCTAATAATCTTCTATAACCCATCACACCCAGTATCTTCAATAAAAAACACAGTGACTCCAAAACATACTACAGTGCAACCCGCTTATAATGGACTCTGCGGGACTGTGACAAATAGTATATTATAGGCGGATGACCATCTTAAAAGAAACACTTTTTTTTAATGAACAAAGCAGCAGAAATAACATTAAAAGCTTAAAACGTTTTTGTTTAACATGAATTACTTAAATAAAGATATATACCAAAAAATTATACGTAATTTTGAAATTTGCATTTTTTCAGAATCTGATACACATATTACAGGCATACGTACTGTGTAGAAGTATGTGTAAAAACCGTAAATTATTTGGTAAAAAAGCTAGTAATTTTCATTTGAACAAATTGTTTGTTTGTATAATTATTCAGAACAGCAAGTTGAATTTTATTTAATTTGGTAAGTGTAGCTGTACTGTGTTCTTCTTGCTGAAAATAACGTTGCAAATTTTTTCACGCAGTCTAATGCCTCCTTAGTGGTCACTGGAAGGTCTTCTTCATCGTTGTTTTCTAGTTCAACTTCCTGTTCGTTATCAACGGATCTTTCGTTAACCAAATTGGAGTCTGACAATTCCTGTGTTGCTATTAAATTATTGTCAACATTTACATACTCATTAAATTTGTCTATATTCAGTAAACTATTAATTTTCAGTAAATGGAATTTCATCTTCTGGATTAAAATCGTTGACTATTAGAGTTATGTTTTTCACTAAGCCAGCATGGCGAAAACAATTACGAATCGTTTCTGGAGTAACCAATTCCCATGCAATAGTAAGTAAATTTATAGCATCTAAAATGGTGACAGCTTTGGTAATGTTGACATCTTCTTGAAGCTCCATAATTTTCATCAACATATGTTTCCGATACATTTCTTTAAGACTCCGTATGACACCCTGCTCCATTGGTTGCAGAACTGATGTCACATTGGGTAGAAAAAATTGAAGGTTGATATTAAGTGAAATGTTTGGATGAGCGGGGCAGTTATCGACCAAGAGCAACATTTTACGATTCTTCTTTACAAGTTCAGCGTCCCACTTTTTTAAATATTCTTGAAAAATTGATCCAAGCTTTATTATTCCCAACATAATCGACGGGAATTGTTTTAACATTTTTGAAACACCTGGGATTCTTAAATTTCCCTGAAAATATTGAATTCTATATAATATCTATTGACAAAATGACATACTCATTTTGCGTACTCAGCAGCACTGTTTGAGTTTTACTCTCTAAGTTGAAACATCAAATAAGAAACATGGATTACTTGAATTATTTTACATCACCTATGGGAGTGTCATTGCTGTACATTTCACACTTCCACTGTTTTCAGATGCCCGTGAATTCACTATTACTAATAGGGGTGAGTTAGTTTTAACGTGTGAGCGTGAAGTTTCTAATCGTAACTGAAAGGCGTAAGAGTCCGCAAAAGTTTCGCTTTTTACAATTGTACTAACTTTGACGCTAGCGTTACCCAAGTAACTATGTGTGACTTGATCTGCGTGAAGCATTTTTACGTACGTCCCACTGTCCTACCTGAAACTTTCTGAAAATTCCGTAGACATAGAAGTACGACGTATTTTTAGACTTAAAGTAAGGCGATGGACATGATTTATCTCTATGCAAAAGTGCTTCATTTGGCCGTGAGAGGGCGCCAAAGTTTTCTTTTTAAAACACATTTTTTCAGAGAAGAATGGATACTCCGATTTGAATGAAATTTGGAAAACATGTTTTGCTAGACGTTCTAATATTTGAATCTTACGAAAAACTTTTCAAGGGTTCGAGAAGGGTGAAAACTACCCAAACCCGTACATACTATAAATTAATTTTTTAGCAACTTTCCCGATGACTGTTTTATTTTATTTAGCAGCTCTTTTTATTTACTTCATTTTTTGTCTCCTTTAAAAACAGGCCATCTCGGATAGTTTTCGAAAAAAAAAATTACCTGCATCAAGAGGTTCCCAAGCGTCTTATTAATTCTTTAAGTGTAGCTGGCGAAAATAAACAAGTATGATATTACTTATTAAAATTTTATTAAATGCAGGCAATAGTGCGAATCTTTCATAAACATTGTTAAATATAACCACCATTTTGGTTCCTGCACTGGTGATACTTCTATGTACACGAAATGTTGGGACACCATATATAAATATATTCCAAGATATTGTTGTATTCCGTCGCAATGATCTACGTAGCTTATAGTAGTATATTTCTCAGCCTATTGCATCAGTGTTGATTGTTCTTTATTTGATCAGAGCCATTGACTAGTCTTTCACGTTATTAATATCCTGTTTCAAATAGAAAAGCGTTTGTATCTCATCCGGAACTTGTTTCATAGCTGATTGAAGTTAATATTGATGTATTAAAAATAGCTCCACCAAGCCGAGAGGGACGTATTGGCCTTGGCGCTCTACTACGTCAGCTACTACAAAACTTTGCAAGGTGATTTTATAATAGCGTTAGAAGGAAAAAATGCTAGTAGTCTGGAGTACTACGTACGAAATTCGGAAACTCAAAAGTATTTCGGACTTTCACTAAAACCATCTGCCACTCCACGAATTGACTGATATTACTATGTTCACTTATCCTTTTGACTGTGTCCATAATAAATATATTACGCTTAATAATCCGTTTCAGCCGAGTCTCCTTCAGTGGCGCCATCTACAATGGGCAGTCTGGAGTCATTGAACATAGATTCTATGCTGCGTCACACCTTTGTGACAGACTATACGGTTAGAGCGTGTACTGAAGTGGTGTACCTAAAAATCAAGAGGAGCCTGTATCTGGCTGCCAAGAGGGCGACTTTGATGGAGAGAAGTAGAAAGGGCGAACAACAGACGGAACAACAGTTTGACGAAGAAGTTGATAAGGTTAGTTTTCAAAGAAGATTACGCGACAACCTGCAGCTCATAATATCGAGCATTACTCCATTGTTTGACCGAATTAAACAACATACGTACATGTTTTAATTTCTCTCTATTGTGCGACGTTTCTGCTACCAGCGTGGCCTTTTTCAAGTACGATGATAATTGACAGTATATTTTTACTCTGCCATGTGGCCTCATTATTATGTTGACTCCCTATTTGTTTTACTTACACTTAGGAGTGACATGATAGTTGTCGAATGTTAATGAAGGTGCCTTTTTCTGATCTGAGGTTTTTATTTTACATATTTAATTAAAAATGAATATCTGTACCTCGGGCAGCAGCGGTGGCGTAGTGAAATACGTTATGGGTCTCGTAATCAGTCGCTGTGTGCTGCGCAGTTAGGAATCCCGTCCCAAGAGAATTTTTCTCTTGGGTGTGCAAGATAACAAAAAAGCCTCGGATCGGACATGCCGCCTTCATCCTCCAGGACGATATTTGACAACTCATTGCAAATATGGCGCCCTTACTCTTAGAAAAAAGTGAAAGGGGGACTAAAATTCGGCCTAGGACAAGTATTGAAGTGAAGAAAAGGTCAATTCTCTTTTGATACTAAACTGAATCTTGTAATCTCCCACGTAGGGCCCTAAAAACTTATCATATAGGAAATAACACAGATGTTTTACTAATAACTGATGTTTTTATAATGTTATGAATCACACTTTACGCGTTATATAAATAGAAGTTATTCGTCAAAGCTGTAAATTGACACATAGCTAATTAGTTTTCAAAGCATTAGCGTGAGATTTTAGGATTTAGTTTAGTATCAAAAGAGAATTATCAGTTTTAAATTTACTAACCTCAATACCCTTCGCCTAAGTTTATTGAGAACCTGTGAAAATCTGTTCACATCTTTAAAGAGCAGGTTTTGGTGGATTTCGAAAAAAAATAAATAAAAATATGGTATTTTAACGTCGCACAGCTTTTTTCAACAGCCTGTTTGGAGGAGTATTCTTGATTCTTTTCGTCTCCTTGTTTCATGGTATGTGTAAATATGAATGAAAACAATGATGATCAATTTCTTTTCTTGTCAATGCATTTCTGCGCATTCTTTATCAATTGTAAGTTGTTAACAAATATTTTTTTCTTATCACTTTTTTTCTTCAAAAAATGCTTTTGAAAACTCAATTTGCTGCAAAGTTGGTTTTCAAGGACGGCAAAAATTTTTTGAAGAAAAAGTAATCAGCCCCTCAATTCTAACATAAAAGTCGGATATTTACATACAATTTCAGAGCTGTACGATTATTTGCTAACACGTTACGATCGAAGAAAAAATTCACAATAATGTTTCCAAAATGCATTTTTGCCAAAAAAAAAAAACAAAAAAAAATGGTAATATTGTTTCTTAGTCATCTCTACACAACATCATGAAATTATCTGATGAAAAGTATTACGAATACTCGGCCAAAGGTATGACCGACCCTGAAATGCGGCAAAAATCATGGCATAATTTTTTGGATAATTTTGATTGTTTTATCGTATCCCTAATACCTCCTTTCTTTCCCTAGTATCGTTTCAGTTCAGAGTATACAGATGACGAAGCAATCGATTCAGTGGTAAGATCGAAACGATTCTATTTATCCATATTCCTATCCTGTAACTCCTACCTCTTCCAGAATACCGCACACTTTAACAGTCTACGGGATGACGATGACTTGCTCCCCGGTCCTAGACATAGACCGTCTTCAGACTCAGAACACTAATATCGTGAGAGGTAAACAATTTTGGGCAAGCATGAGATCGAACCATTGTAAATCGCGTACCGCTGCTATTGGTTGGAACCGTCGCGATTTACAGTGGTTCGATTCTGGTGCGATAGATGGCGCTTTGCGCTATCTCATGCTGATCAACCGCTCCTCCGGTATAAAGGATCAATTTGATGCTTTCGTTTGTTAGTCCATAGATAAGAGACAAAGCCTATACCATGCTGATGAGTAGCTAAGAAGCACGAAACAGCTATCCATGGTTGGCTGTCGTCTTTTCTTGGTCGGACAGACGAAGGCATCTCATTTTATTTTGACCAATCTTGGGCAACCTTGATTTTTCAAAGTGAAAATTGCTACATAATAATATAGGGACCACTAGTAGGCCAAATTGAAGTACATAGGCTTTCGTGATACTGCAATAGAGTAAAAATAGTATAAAAGTTGAAGAATAGATGAAAACAAGTTTTAGTGATATAGAAGACAGCAAACTGTGAAGCATTTCAGGTAGCAAAACCGTCTATAACTCAAACAGTGGCAAGGGAAATTGTAAATTACTCTATTACGCGATTGGGCTGAATGAAACAAGTCACAAAAAGTTTAAGTCTGGATTGACTGGTTGCTTCAAAAATGTGTAAGTCCTATACATAATTTCCAATTTGAAATAAAAGTGTAACTTTTGGAGGGTATTAGTTAATACTCCTGAACACCCCTCCAACATGTTTCATGCTACTGTAACGAAAACACCGTTTGTACTATTTAAAGTCTAATTTATTAGTCTCGCACTAATTTGCAACAACACGTGCAACTCATTCATTACAAATTTATAACCATGTTGACTGGACTCTCGCGGCCCGCACTGTTGCTGACTCATCGTCCATTCTGACTGCTCGCTGTCGGCGACCCGATTTATTGCGAATCGCCGAATTCTAAAAGCCTTACAGGCAAAATCCGAGCCTCAATCCGAGCTTGCTAGATGGCGTTTGATATTTTTCGAAGCATGGCGATGCTTCTAGATGAATGTAATCTGGAAAGCTAGAATCAGATGGCGCTAGCTAGGTTGGGGGCCATATCCGTCAAATCTAAGGTTCGTCAAGACTAGAGACAGGAGGATAAACTCATAGAGTGAGGGTGACACCAAAAGTGTCGAGAATGAACTCAGGCTAGCTCTATATACAGTGAATTTCATTGCGCAGGAAATTGTTGGTGTTATCTTTAGCGTAAACTATTCCAGTGTTGACCGTTCAGACGACTTGCAAGCAGAAATATTGGTTAATATTAATAAACCAACAAAGTGTGACAAAACGCGAGTGAAACGAAAAACAGTATATTGCGATCTACGAGATAATTATTAGTCCATCATTTTTGGACGGATTCCTTGGCACTTGGTGTTATATTATGTTGTTATTTGCATGCAGTAGTTTTTCGCCTCGAATTTGAAAAAATGTTCGATCATTTTCAATGTCGTCAAAAACTATAGCAAGAACTTGTAGAGGATCAACAAACAACTGATTTCGAGCACATGGTTATGAAAAATGATATTATAGGTCGGATAATAAGAATTAGCGTTTTTGGCCCATATGTAAGAAACAAAATATATGTGATGATTGTGATGTGAGCTGGGAAAGAGAGTGTAGTAATGACTAGATATACGGGTACATAATACTTATCTTCTTAGAGTAGTGACAAATGTAATTGAGAATTTGGAAAAACGAAAAAAATTATTGCAGTACAGTTAGGAATAACCATTCTATGTTTTGTCCCCAATAGCTGCAGATGAGGTTAGATAAATAGAAACAAAAAACGGAAAAATTCGACGAATTCGATTAGCTCGTGGGGTTTTCACACGGTCCGGCGCGCGCTGCTCAGCCAAACCTCTATAGGGTGCGGCACTCGAGGTGTAACCTTTTCAAAATGGCATAAATTCGGTTTGGAAAATGATTTTTATTTATTCCAGAGTGCAGAATGTGTGAAATATTCGAAAATGCAGACATAATTCACTTTAGCTCAGTATTCCCACCTTTTGCCTTGCCTATAGCATTGAGACGGTCCAAAAAACGAATCACAAGCTGCCCGAATGTGACTTGGCGATATTTTGGCCCACTCACGGATAACGGCTTTCTTCGGTGTCTCGAGGCTGGTGTATTTCTTAGCTCGGACCTTGCTCTCCAAAATGGCCCAAATAGAATAATCCATTGGATTCGCGTCGGGTGAATTCGAATCGAATTTCCTGAAAGGAACGATTCGATTCAGTAGTATGCCGTACTAAATTTTGGTTATCATTTCAGCTTCTCCATTCATTGGACGAGGACGACGCGTTGAGCGGGGGCAGACATTCCCCAAAAGGGGCCCACCCGTGCCCGTTGACCTACCAACAGCGAAGGAAATCCTCTCAGAAACAGAACGCGACGGCTGCGAGCAGTCCCAGGACTCCCTCGCACAATCAGATGAACGCCAAGGATATCAACGGCGCGGTTAAAAGCAGCCCCGTGGACGACATTCAGGTGAGAATTCCGTATCAGTACTCAAAATTAAAACCCTGAGATTAACGTTCATCTGATCTGGACTTTGGATAGTGAATTGAGGAACATTACAAATTACAAGCCTATACTCCATAAACCCTATTTCACGAGTATCAAATACATTTTGACGTCTACTGAGATGAACAGCTGTACAGCAAGTGATATCTTCGCATTAACGTCTGTAACGTTGGCAAGAATGAATCGGGTGTATATCTGGTAAAACTTAGGATCGCATTCCGGTCTGTTGTTCACATATCTAGATACTTTTAATACGAATACGAAATGTTTATAAGAAAGTTATTATAGGTAGTAGGATTTATTGGTTACGAGCTAAGTGAATAGAACATACTGTGTTGTCCTTTCCAGTATCTGTAATTATTTTACATGTAAAAATATAGAAACGTATTTCTGGTTGAATGTCCGTCATAAGCATAACGTAATTCAAATATTTTCATTGCCGTTTAAATTCAAGTTCTAAACAGTGGTGATGATTAACAAAGTCAAAAACTGTTTATCTATTTCATTCCTATCTGACTTGAAATGCAATCATGATCATTAGCAGCCATTATGCTTGTAGCGTTTTTTTTGTATGCCAAGGATCTTATTAAATAAAAGAACGTACAAAAATAACTACAAAATACGGCACTGTCATCTGGCGTTGACGGATCCATCAGATTAGTGTGTCACTTGTCGATATGGGAAATTTTGAAATAATACTAGCTAATCATCTGTAATCGATACTCGTGAAAAAGACAATAAATAGCATTTTACTTATCCCGAAAAAGCACTATACAAATGCAGCTTATATTATAGTTACATGACGCGGTACTTGCGTTTGCTTACAATTTATAGAAATATCCTTAATTTTTATGTGTTCAAAGCTGACATGCTTCTGAGAATGTACCATTCAGTTACCCTGTAGTCTATAATAGTCGTAATATTTACACGGGCTCTTCGAGAGACACATTTTCTCGTACTACTCGTAATTCAATTTAATGAGGTTTTCAAAAGCGACCCAGTTGACGAAAGGTTGTTATTCCAAGAAGTATCTTCGCATTGGCTGAGAAAAATATTTTAATTTGGCTTTTTCTTTAAACCTTTTTAAAAAATGGCATCAAGTAGGTTGACTCTAAACGATTATGTTTGGCACAAGTTAGTCCCTCTGAGCTAGGTACAAACAGTCAAACAGGCACATACAATTAGTCCATGGTCCCTACGCTAACGATAACGCTGAAGCTAGTTTCTTCACTGCTGCCAAGTTTGAACGACTTTTCTTCTTTTTTTCGTGTTTCTGGCACAGCAGTAACATTGTGTGAAAATTTCATCAAAATCAGAGCGGTACTTCTCAAGTTATAGATGGGTCAAGAACTAGCAGACAGACAGACCGACGGATTTTTAATGCATATATGTGTATTGTCAGGCCCAAGATTGCATCAGAAATTGTTTACCAATAATACCTACAGAGGACCAACCGTATACAGCTGTGTCAAGCTTATTGGCAATGCTCAGCGTGGTCTAGGCTTGGCCTCTCGGTATGACATAAGGACGACGAACGAAAACAGAGCAACATTATAGCAGATGCGAAGATACTTCCTTGACTAGTAGTGTTAAAAAAGTAGTTTCTTTCAATCAGCGCAGGTTAATGCAGGTGAAACAAAGCTAATCATAGTCTCTTTTCTATATATATTCAGAAATAAGTTCTATGGAATATCTAATTTGATGTATTTTTGATTGGCTTGTAGAACACAACATAGTGATTGACCAAGGATGTAATGTTTAAAGCAGGTAACTTGTAAAGAGCTTGGCTAACTTTGACTTTGGATGGTTTCAAACGAATTGTTGAACTACTCACCATTATCCCGCTTTTGAATCGATGTTTGCTATATAAACATCTACTAACATGTATATTACAATGCACCATATTGTTAATGTACAGATCGAGCAGTTTTCGGAAGGCGTGATATCAGTATTTTATTCTTCTAACGTATTCCGAATGCATTGCTTGAAATGCTGTTTGTATTGTTGGAAATGCTATAAAATGTAGAACTGACGTATCGCAGACCTTAACTCACGATTATTTAAGATTAGACCATGAGCATAGTATATCTGACGCATATCAACGCAACTCACGATGATATATGAGGGATTCGCGTATCTGTCTGATTATACCGGGTGTCTCAAACTCGACTATCACTATTGGGATATCGGAAGCGGTGAGAAATACGAAGTCGGTTAAATGTGGGTGAAGTTGCCCATTTTGGTAACAGAAAATGGCACGCAGAAAGTTGCGCAATTCAAAAAAAAAACGAAGTCGATTGCACATTAACATAGTCCCATTTTTTCCTCTACAATGTGGCATAATTAAAATTTCGATACGGTGTTTCGTCTCTTACCCTTGATCATCAACTTGATTTTTTTATGTTTATTAGTTTATTTATTAATACTGTGAAACTATAATTATTATAAAAAACTGAATTTGTGAAGTAGCCCTTGAAGTTATTAGATAGTCAATTGTTTCGTAATATCATCCACCAAACATTATTTCAGTTTTTATAAACTTGGGCATAGGTGAACAGTCCCTATATCTGCTTTTAATGATATGTTGTACACGATATGACATGGATCGATATAAAAATGTTTAAAAAATTAGCCTTTCTATAGATTCTTTTTCATATTACAAGTGGACCCGCGGTAATCCGAACCCGATATAATCCGGCGCCCCCTGTAATCCGACACGCGTATCTCTGTGATTGAACATAAACATTTCAGCAAACTTGTTCGCGCCACTACTATTGTGTTCTCGCGCGTTTTGTTTTAGTTTGAATTTGACTGTATACATGTAATAGCAGCCTGGCGAGCGTTAATTGTTGTTTATTTGTTTATTCATTGTGCGTCACATAAACATACCTTCACAAGCCCAAAAAGGAAAGCACAAAACACTGTTAAAGAAAATAGTGATATTTTGGATCGCTTAAATCGTAATGAATCCCTCGGCAGTTTGACGAATGAATACGGTGTAGGTCGATTTACAATTTATAACATCGAAGCGAAACACGAGAAGATTAAAACTTGTGTCAACTACTGACTGTGGGCCAGACAAAAGACGGAAACCCAAAAAAGCTTAACATCCAGAGCTGGAAGAAGCTTTGTACATTTCGGGACTCGAACGCTATGTATTTTTAAAAGGAAATCATGGAAGAAGGTGACTTTGTGGCTAACAAGGGATGGTTAGAACGTTTCAAAATGCACCATGGCATACCTGTATGTTCCTACAACGAATTTTTACTTTTGAGAAGACTAAGGGACAAAGCTTTGGTCTCGCGCATCAAAAACTTAAAACAAACAAAAAATTAATGAATATTTTGATTATTCGTATTATTATCTGAAAGACATATTTTTAGTACATTTGTTTGAACATAATTATTTCCTAACGTAAATAAGTTTAGTTATTATTTTTTGTAAGTTCTATAGCACTGATAATGTTTTTTCTTATAATAAAATATAAAAAATCCGGATTACAGAAGGTATTAGGCGGTACTCTATAATCCGACAAATTCCATAATCCAAGATCGCCCTGCAAAACGTTTGTCGGATTACTACGGGTCTACAGTATTTAAGGGTGGTAATGAAAGCATTTAAAACGATATAATTTTACGAAAATAATAGGAGCACTTTAGTGCTACTGGTTGCTAAAACTTTTTCATATTATCTATTATTGTAAACACTGAAAACAGTATTATTTTATGTAACTAACTGATCAAAACATTGTAGTGTAAATAGAATCTTCGAAGATGTTGCGGCACCATAAGCTCATTTCACGTCCGTCATATTTATCTAAACCGATCTTGCATTTAAATAATATTAATCTACGGCCGAGGTATCATATAGAGAGGCTGCATCGCTTTTAAGAATGCATGTTATAGTCGACTAATGGGTAAATTTTGTGATAAGCTGCCATCTTCAAAACCTGCTATGAAAACAACTTTTTGAAATAACTAATGGTTGGCAATGGTAATGTATAACATATTACACATTGCTGGAATCAGAATTAAAAACTCTATCCACCTGTACAAAAATAAACTTAATGAATGAGGACAAGAGACGAAACGAGATATTGAAATTCTAATCATGCAACATTGTAGGAGGAGAAAATGTAAAACTTATTTTGAAATCCCATCACAAAGGAAGAACATTCGATCATTCTGTTCTCAGGAAATACTCCATTTCATCGACTTCGTATCCTTTGCAGTTTCCGAGGTCCGAATGGTGAGAGTCGAATTTAACACACCCTGCCAAGGAGAACGTAATTTTTTAAAACACCACCCAGACGACTACACAGCGTCGATTGCGCGTGGCAACGTGTCGTAGTGCTTTCCGCATCTTTAATACGTAAAATGAAAGGGATAGGGATCTGATCGCCATAATTATGACTTTGTCATTCTCTTCAGATTTACTTGTAATAGCTGTGCGTGTTGCTCAAACGTCAAGATACTTGAGCCATGTGCTGTTCGTGCTGTAAATACGACCCTGTAATTTCACGCCAGGAGTACCAATGGTGCTTTGACATGGTTGCCATGTTGGGGGATTTTCCCCCAAATTTGAGGGATTTTTACTTGTGGAACTGGGAGATATCACACGCACCCCCACGCTCTATGAACCAAACGTACCCCTGTCCATTAATTAATTGAGATTTGGAGGGTTCTTTCAACTAGGCGTTCTGAGATATTTTTGTGCTTGTTCTGGGGAAATTCTGTCTGACCCATCTGGCAACGCTGTGCAAAGACAGATCCGCTATATGAACACCAACAATCGGATTGCCTTTCCGTTCATTTTAAATTAATTCAACAATTTTTCTTGTAAATTCTTGGTGTAGATATTCGGAAATGTGCTGGAAAGTGTCATCTAGTCATTTGTGAAAAACTGTTGAAAAGCCCCACTTTGTGCGGTGAAAAATTGTTCAACGACGAGGAAAAGTAATATTCATTGTTTGGAATTTCCTCTTTTCTCCAAAATGTTGGTTAAACGCTCAATCTTTTGTCCAAAGACTAAGGTTTATCGATTAAGTCCTTGAAGATGGGGTGGTCCTTGATAGAAGAATAACAAAAACATGCGAGAATTTGTTCCAGGTGTTTTAGAAAAGGTAAGGTCTTGAGCGTGATATATAACGATGCAAACAGAAGTTATTACTAAAACAAACTATTGTATCAGCAACAGTCAGTTTGAAATTAAATTTTGTCCTAACCTCAGATACTCTGCACATGCGCAGTAGCTGCTACACACTCCGATCTCTGCGCCCTCAGTCAGGCGTTAAGTTTTGGGGTCATTTTTTTCTCATTTCGTCGGTTCTCCGCGTATATGGGCTTCATGGGTTGTATGGTAACTCCTAAAACCTATCGTGTGGTTTTCATGTTCATAGGATTCCATTGTCTGCGCGAATCAAAACCACATATATATTTTAATTCCTGTTTGTTGCACGACGTTTCGGCCACCGCGGTGGCGTTTTCAAGGACAATGACAATTATAAGTCGTTGTGGCATTCCTCCGTAGGTAGCGTTCAAAGCAAGTACGCATGGCATGGGCTAGTGACTAGATAGTACACGAGTGACAAATATGGCGAGATCGCTATCACAGCGACGATTTTGTTTTTTATATAATACAGGTACCAATCTCTCAAGCTCATAGAAATTCGCTCAAATGTCAACGTAGTTTTCAGGGAGTTGCACATTTATGTGTTGGATATATGCTATGCGCTAAGCTTTGTATGTGACATGTACATAATCGCTGTTATTCTTGTTGTGTTATTTTGTGTTGTAATTTCTATTCCTTTCTAGGTGTGCGAGAAAGATGAAGAGATGTCCTTACTACCGAAAAAGAATTCATAACACTGTGTTTCGGTCCTCCAAATTAAATAGGGCCGTATCTCGATGATGTACTTAACATTAACTTTACGTTTTGTGTTGTTTTGTTGTTCACAGTAGATTTAAAATATCCCTGAGCCCATATAATTATAAGACCTATAGGTATAATACATATTAATATGTTTCTTCTACTCTCAAATTTAGATTATTTTTTGAAACTGCTCATATTTTTCCATTATTACAATGGAAACAAACTCAGACGTCTAGATGTGCAACTGAGCTGCTTTTTTCGTAACATTCTTTGAACCTGAGATTTATCCGTGATTAAATTTCTTTTTTCTATTTTCTAGCTATATGAACATATTAAATCACTGTTTTTAACGGATAATAGCTTTACTAATCTTCCAGTGCAAACTGTATGGATTACACCTAAATTCACTTTATATAAAAAAGATTCAAAATACATAATTTTCAAAATAATTCTCACATTATATGGACTCAGTACCAACCTGACTTCCCTAAGTACTTAAGGCAAAAAAAAACATTAAGCAAAGGAAAAAGTATAGCAAAATGTCGTAGAATATTTTCATACCATATATTTATTGGTGTATTAGTCTAGAGTCTAGCTTGTGTATAGAATAAATGCCTTAGTCTCGCAAATCCGTTTATACGTAAAATATGGCCACATTTTCATTTTCTGAAATTAACGTCTTAATATAAAGATATATGGTATTCGTTTACTTAGAAAACTAATCAGATAGTGTTTCCATACACTATGTTATTAAAAGCTTGATCTCTTAGCTAATGGGTAAAAAATTTGGGGTCTCTGTCAACGAATTCAGACTAGGTAGAAGAAGCCTATGATTTGTTTGTTTCCAAAATCTCAGTCAGGATTGAAGTGCTTACCTCAAGTCGATTTGACACGATTTAATTTTTTGACAGTGCGAGTGCAGATAATTGTGGTGTTAGACGGTTTTAGGATATGTCACTTCGAGCAAACTTTGCAAAGAGCTACAAAAGCCTGATGAAGGCAGATCGTTCCACCAGTAACTAATGTTACTATATTGATACAACGTTGTCACTTTGATAAGCAATGGTAGTCAAATGAGTCAAAAGTACGCAATTTTGGCGACAAAAGATGCAATGTAAACATATAGGCTGGCTTCTAATCTATTCGAATTCGTTGGTCTTGTGGTATAGCCGCATTTGGTTTGGTTGTCAAATAAGGTTAAATAATTAGAAAAGTGGTTCAGGAATATTTGATGGAAATCTTCAGAAATTATATGAATAAGGTGTTGATATTTCGTCACAAAAATATTAAAAAAATCTGTTGCAGATAATAAGAAAAGTATGACATTGATGACACATATTGCGTCATGACAAGTAAAACTTTGTATGGAATTGTAGTTGTAGAACTAAATACATGTGGCACACAGTTTAATACGTACTTCTCCCAGCTTCTAGTTTGAATAACTATTAGTGAAACCATGGATTAACGTATTCTACCTGATCCTATATTCCTGCGTCCAAAAATTATCCGAGATATAATGAGTTACTGTAACGTCATCTATAGAAATTTGTCAAAGCTTTTTTTTCTATACTATATGACAGAGAAAATGCAATACCGACTAGGAGTGCTGTAATTTTGAGCATATTATTACATAACAAGTTTTAGATCTACTGATAAATAGAAAGTGATTAAAATTTTAACTCGAAATTTCTCAAAATAGCTGAGATATCCCATCTTAATGTTAATGTGTTGAAGCTCCTGTGTTCGCTACACATTCCACATTCGTTAAGTCGTCGCGGCATTGATTGGATTAGGCGATTGATGTCTTTCTGGTGTATTATATCCCAGGCCATCTGAATTTGGTTTCGTAGAGCCTCCAATGTTTATGGAGGATGCGGTGAATTCTGCAACCTTTTTCCCATCATGTACCCATACATGTTCGATGGGGGAAAGGTCTGGAGATCGAGGCCGCCACTGAATCAGATTTACTCCGGACGCTTCTAAAAAGTCTAAACTAACACGTGCGACATGAGGTCGTGCATTGTCCTGGTGAAACAGTGGATCTTGCAATGTTTTCAAAAAGGGAAGCAGATGTGGTTGTAAAACTTCGTGGATATATAGCGCTGGGCAGTCATGCTACCTCGAATGAACACTAATCGTGACCTGCTGCCGTAAGCAATGGCACCCTATATCATAACACCCAGAGTGCGGTGATATGCCGTTCGGTGGAAATTAGCGCGTCTGCGAACTCTAGACACGATAATGCAATGAAACAACAATGAAACTCATGGAACCAACACAGAAAAATCACTGAATATTTAGTAAACATGTTCATATTGTTCGGATCCTGATGTGACAAAAAGGCCTTACAAAAAGTACAGTTCGGAATGCCTTCAACAGTTTATCCGCGTATACATCATAGCAAATATGTTTGCACGTTTTTATCAAAATTCAATAAATAATTCTGGGTGTTGCATTTTATATGTTACTTATTATATTTAATATATACCAGTATATACTTTGAAAAGGTTAATGTCTCATAGATGTTGCTGTAGCCACCTATATGCGTTTATATGTTCTGAGACAGCGCCATCTATGAGACGCTAACCTGTTCAAAGTATATATAGTTCATAGAGAAACAGCTGTGAATAATTCTCATGGATGACGCTACTGTATCTAATTTTATCTCCTATATTTTTTAATCAACGGAAAACATAGTTGATTCAATAGAAAAATAAATATATTTTTCAGACTAGTACTATGAAAAATCGAACAAGAAGATTGAGAAGGACAGTAAACTTAAAAATTGTTTATTATGCATTGCAGTTAACTGCAGTCAGTATCTTTTTTGCACATAGATTATATATTGTTAAGGATGTAGTAGCCTGGTAGGCAATTTATTGCCGCTTTAACTGTTATCTCTGTCAATCATTCTACTTATAGCAATAATTCTTCTGTCCTCAATTGATATACGAGATGAAATGATAATCATTTATTACGTTTTACTAGTATTGTGTATCGTAAGATTTATGTTAACTTTGAGATAGTGGACAACTCTTGAACACATATATTTTGTGTCATAAGTCAGACCACATTTTTCGCCAGAACATTAAACACCTAAAATATTCTTCAAGTATTGGGAGTTTGAGTAAAACATGGTAATATTTCTAGAACATAGAGTAGAGCAAAAAAAGAACGTGAAAACTTCCTGTAAACAAGGGTCCTACAATACCTTAGCAAGGCACGGGTTGTTGGCTTTTCAATTTTGAATTATATTTTCGAAGTGTGTTAAGGTGTTGACTTGAAATTTTGTACAGATAGTACTAAAATTTCGTGCCTGAGGCTACACCAGTGGCGAGAAGATGGGGAAATTTTGACCCATACAGGTGAAAAACGTAAAATATTTCCTACGCCACTGACTTTTTTGAAACACCTTTTGCATTTCTGAATAAGGTATTGATTTTCACTTGAATCGACCACTCTTGAGAAATTTTGTCAATTTTTTTGGAGAAAAACGGTCTGAATATTTGAAGTTCACTTCAACTCCTATTTTGAAAATACGCTAAAGTTAGTGAAGGGTAACAGTAACCAGAATTCGTCATAGTTGATATGAACTTTTTATTTTTGAAATATTGTTACATTTTCCTGAAACACCCTCTATAGCTGAATACTGGTGATATCATTTACTTCTTTATGATTGATTTCAAAAAAATGTTGTCTTGATCTTTCACCTATTGATCGTTAATTCAACGCAAACCAGGAATGACTTTGGCAGTGCCCTATATAAATCTTTAATAAGACAGTTATGACCATAGAATTTTTTTGTACATCTCTCTCATCATCTTTATAGATTTAACATAAAATCTGCTAGAAATGTATGAAATATGTTGCCAAAAATATGTTCAAGATGTATGTTATTTGTTAAATAAGTATTCTGCAATTTAAACACCCTAGGTGTATCCTATGGTTGAATTGTTATCAAAAGTACTTTATTTCAGTGCCTTATTTTTGAGAACTTTAAATCTTCATTGTAACATTTGCTTACCAGGTGTTTGTTAAGGAGTTTGCTGTAACAAATGCAACAGGGCATTTGTTGATCAAAATACATTTGTTTAAATATGGTGTATAATTTTGTTGAGGACAATAATTTAATTTATTCACAGTATGTTATTGATCGCCCTGTGTTTTAGTTTAACAAAATTTAGCTGTAGAAGTTAACATTTTATGTTTTTTAATCATGCGTTGAAGTGATATACCCAGTGAACATCGATTTTTTCTATAAAAAATGTATATCTTAAAATATTGTGATAATTTGCTTTGTAGCATTATTTTCATTTTATATTCTATTGATCCATATCCTTTGTTGCGGATTATTTCATTATGTTGCTTGCTTTTTTATGGATTCATGGATTTACTTATACACGAAGTATTGTTGTTTTTTTATTACTTTTATTTTATTTGTATGAAAATACATTTTTCTACGCTGTTGAATGTTTTTTGTATGTTTTTTTGTGATTGAATGTATTGGTGCTTTTATTTCCCTGTTGAAAATATCTATGTATATTTAGATCCAAAGAAAATAAAGATTTGGAATTACCTTCTTGACTTTTCATACACATACCTCATCAAGTCGAAGGGAATTTGACTTTCCCGCCATGATCATATCAGGGGCAGAATATATTAAGACGATACATCCTGACGTTTCTGTGATCCTGGTAGCAAATTTCAACTACTACTTTTCGATTACGTTATCAAGAAATTTCAGTCCGACGTGAGATTTTCAGCATCTTGAAATTCTGTATCAGGATCGCAGAAACGACGAGAGGTCTTTACAAATAAAATTCGAATTCATTCCGTCTTTCGAGTGTAGGGAGCAGAATATATTTTTCAATACCTCCTCGTGTTTCTGTGATCCTGGTAGCAAATTTCAACTACTACTTTTTGATTACGTTACCAAGAAATTTTAGTCCGATGTGAGATTTTCAGCATCTTGAAATTCTGTATCAGGATCGCAGAAACGACGAGAGGTCTTTGCAAATAAAATTCGAATTCATTCCGCCTTTCGAGTGTCGGGAGCGGAATATATTTTTCAATACCTCCTCGTGTTTCTATGATCCTGGTAGCAAATTTCAACTACTGCCTTTCGATTACGTTATCAAGAAATTTCAGTCCGACGTGAGATTTTCAGCATCTTGAAATTCTGTATCAGGATCGCAGAAACGACGAGAGGTCTTTGCAAATAAAATTCGAATTCATTCCGCCTTTCGAGTGTCGGGAGCGGAATATATTTTTCAATACCTCCTCATGTTTCTGTGATCCTGGTAGCAAATTTCAACTACTACTTTTTTATTACGTTACCTAGAAATTTTAATCCGCCTTTCGAGTGTCAAGAGCGGAATATATTTTTCGATACCTCCTCGCATTTCTGTGATCCTGGTAGCAAATTTCAACTACTACTTTTTGATTACGTTACCAAGAAATTTTAGTCCGATGTGAGATTTTCAGCATCTTGAAATTCTGTATCAGGATCGCAGAAACGACGAGAGGTCTTTGCAAATAAAATTCGAATTCATTCCGCCTTTCGAGTGTCGGGAGCGGAATATATTTTTCAATACCTCCTCGTGTTTCTGTGATCCTGGTAGCAAATTTCAACTACTACTTTTTGATTATGTTACCAAGAAATTTTAGTCCGATGTGAGATTTTCAGCATCTTGAAATTCTGTATCAGGATCTCAGAAACGACGAGAGGTCTTTGCAAATAAAATTCGAATTCATTCCGCCTTTCGAGTGTCGGGAGCGGAATATATTTTTCAATACCTCCTCGTGTTTCTGTGATCCTGGTAGCAAATTTCAACTACTACTTTTTGATTACGTTACCAAGAAATTTTAGTCCGATGTGACATTTTCAGCATCTTGAAATTCTGTATCAGGATCGCAGAAACGACGAGAGGTCTTTGCAAATAAAATTCGAATTCATTCCGCCTTTCGAGTGTCGGGAGCGGAATATATTTTTCAATACCTCCTCATGTTTCTGTGATCCTGGTAGCAAATTTCAACTACTACTTTTTTATTACGTTACCTAGAAATTTTAATCCGCATTTCGAGTGTCAAGAGCGGAATATATTTTTCGATACCTCCTCGTGTTTCTGTGATCCTGGTAGCAAATTTCAACTACTACTTTTTGATTACGTTACCAAGAAATTTTAGTCCGATGTGAGATTTTCAGCATCTTGAAATTCTGTATCAGGATCGCAGAAACGACGAGAGGTCTTTGCAAATAAAATTCGAATTCATTCCGCCTTTCGAGTCTCGGGAGCGGAATATATTTTTCGATACCTCCTCGCGTTTCTGTGATCCTGGTAGCAAATTTCAACTACTACTTTTTGATTACGTTACCATGAAATTTTAGTCCGATGTGAGATTTTCAGCATCTTGAAATTCTGTATCAGGATCGCAGAAACGACGAGAGGTCTTTGCAAATAAAATTCGAATTCATTCCGCCTTTCGAGTCTCGGGAGCGGAATATATTTTTCGATACCTCCTCGCGTTTCTGTGATCCTGGAAGCAAATTTCAACTACTACTTTTTGATTACGTTACCAAGAAATTTTAATCCGACGTGAGATTTTAGCATCTTGAAATTCTGTATCAGGATCGCAGAAACGACGAGAGGTTTATTCAAATAAAATTTGAATTTTACGCCTTTCGAGTGTCAATAGCGGAATATATTTTTCGATACCTCCTCGCGTTTCTGTGATCCTGGTAGCAAATTTCAACTACTACTTTTTGATTACGTTACCAAGAAATTTTAATCCGACGTGAGATTTTAGCATCTTGAAATTCTGTATCAGGATCGCAGAAACGACGAGAGGTTTATTCAAATAAAATTTGAATTTTACGCCTTTCGAGTGTCAAGAGCGGAATATATTTTTCGACACCCCTCGCATTTCTGTGATCCTGGTAGCAAATTTCAACTACTACCTTTCGATTACGTTATCAAGAAATTTCAGTCCGACGTGAGATTTTCAGCATCTTGAAATTCTGTATCAGGATCGCAGAAACGACGAGAGGTCTTTGCAAATAAAATTCGAATTCATTCCGCCTTTCGAGTGTCGGGAGCGGAATATATTTTTCAATACCTCGTCGTGTTTCTGTGATCCTGGTAGCAAATTTCAACTACTACTTTTTGATTAGGTTGCCAAGAAATTTTAATCCGACGTGAGATTTTAGCATCTTGAAATTCTGTATCAGGATCGCAGAAACGACGAGAGGTTTATTCAAATAAAATTTGGATCTTCCGCCTTTCGAGTGTCGGGCGCGGAATATAATTTTCGGTACCTCCTTACGTTTCTGTGATCCTGGTAGTAAATTTCAACTACTACTTTTTGATTACGTTAATAAGAAAATTTCAGTCCGACATGAGGTTTTCAGCATCTTGAAATTCTGTATCAGGATCGCAGAAACGACGAGAGGTCTTTGCAAATAAAATTTGAATTTTCCGCCTTTCGAGTGTCGGGAGCGGAATATATTTTTCAATACCTCCTCGTGTTTCTGTGATCCTGGTAGCAAATTTCAACTACTGCTTTTTGATTACGTTACCAAGAAAATTTCAGTCCGACACTCGGGCGACGTGCAAATAACTTCAAATAATTTATAATTAATAATAATAATCTTCTACTTATACTTTTCGTAGAAACACTGACAATTCCTTTTGTCTCGATTTCGGCTTTTATTTGTCTTGTGGCTTTAAACGGATCTTTGGACGAAATTACTTTTATTAATCTAACTGATCTAGCATTTAGTTTTCTATGCGGACCACTTCTCTTAGAGGCTTCCAAGATATCTTTTTGTTTATATTTGTTCAATATTGCCCAAACTGTTTTACGCTTCAGCTTCAAATTTTTGGCAATGTCGACTTGACGTTTACGAAGAGTGAAAATGAAGCACAAAATTACTTGTTATTTTTGCTACAGAACGATTTTGAGTGTAGTTCTACGTCATGACGTTCTATGTCACTTTCGTACTGCTTGCCATCTGTTGACCACTAGTTAAAGCAAAAAATAGTTGACAGTAGTTATCTTTGCAGCATTGATTAATGTTAAACGTTGCATGAGTAGATGGCGCTGACCTGTACTAAAGATGGCGTTTGGAAATACTCGTCTATTATATCATTACTTGCTCTCAGAAACAATATTAGCAGTCCACTTCTATACGCAATTTGAGGTTATGCATTTTTGTTTACTGGGAAAAGTTTTCAGGTCATAATTTCTTTTGTAAAAATGAAGATGAAGCCGTATCAAGAAAAGATAGAACAGCTCCAAAACTACTTCAAATCCCATAATAAGTCTAAGGAATATATAGGACACTCTTCTAAAGTTCATTCAGTAGGTTGGAGCTGCGATGGTCGGAAACTGGCTTCAGGGTCTTTCGACAAGTCTGTTTGTGTTTATACTTTAGATCGAGATCGGTTGGTACGTAAATTGACCTTTTTATTCATACAGCTTTCACCTTCTCTTGAAACCTTGCATCATTCTGCCGATAAAGTTGTTTATCTAAAGAAAACATGAAAGCTTGCTCGAGGCTATGCCCTAAGGGAGCCCAGCATAGCAAGTCAAACAACAGCAAAGTAGGGCCTTAACTTTCACTCTGCCCTAGAGCACCTTTTGGCCTCAGGATCAGAGCCCCAGGGGCTTATATCGCTGGATCCAACTTCTCATTGATATCAGTATGTTCCGAATTCTAGTATATGGTTTAAAGTTATAAGACTATTAATACTTTATTCACAGAATAAAGAACATGTATTCAAAGGTCCAGAGGGACACAGCGGTTCAGTAGATCAACTATGCTGGCATCAAACTCATCCAGACCTACTAAGCACTGCTAGTGGTGACAAATCTGTGAAGATCTGGGATACCAGAGTCCAAAAATGTGTAGCAACAATAAAAACCAAAGGAGAAAACATAAATATTACCTGGTCACCTAATGGTAATGCTATAGCTGTTGGGAATAAGGAGGATCTAGTGACATTTATCGATGCTAGGACACACAAAATTGAAGCTGAAGAACAATTTAATTTTGAAGTGAATGAAATCTCATGGAATAATACTAGTGACTTGTTTTTCCTAACAAATGGGCAAGGCTGTGTTCATATTTTAAGGTAGGATAAAAAACATTTTTTTTATAAATTTGGCTTTATAATAAAATGTTTTTTTACTGAGTTTTAATAAAATTGTCTTGATGAAACCTTTCAAACAGAAAAAAATATAATGACACTCATCCTATATATCACATCTGGGTTAGTCTGCAACATTGAAGTTAGCAGAAATATATTCCACCTAAGAACCAAGCGAATACTATATTCTCATGTCAGCATTATGCTATTATATCGAAAACAAAACTGTTTGCAATTATATTGAAAATAAGTTATAAGTGTCATAATTATAACCCTAAATGTGATAATGTTATTGGCACAGTTACGTATGAGTGGCATTAGGTACATCCAATTTTGACATGTTTATGAACCTTCCAATCACTTTTCAGTTACCCAGATCTCAAAAGGCAACATATTTTGAAAGCTCATCCAGGAACTTGCATCTGTATTGAATTTGATCCTACAGGGAAATATTTTGCTATAGGAAGTGCAGATGCCTTGGTTTCATTGTGGGACATCAATGAGCTAGCTTGTCAAAGAGTTTTCACAAGGTAAACAAAACTTCAATACTAAATTTAAATACTAACCAAATATTAGCGTGAATAATTGTTATTCTTATGGCACGTAGAAATTCAAAATCTACTGTACCAGAAAGACTTAGGAGTTATAATAGCACAAATTTAAAATGGGAAGCTCTCATTACCAACAAAATTAAAAAAAGTCAACTCACTGATATATTTGATCGAATTCATTGGTTACAGTGGTGTTACCACTTAAGTACTGTAAAAGAATGATCGTGATTTCAATACACATTAGATGTATGATTTTTTTAGGATGGACTGGCCTGTGAGAACGATTTCCTTCAGCTACGATGGTCAATTGCTGGCATCGGCTTCAGAAGATCTGATCATAGACATTGGTTTTGTGGAAACTGGTGACAAAGTAGCAGACATTTCTGTGGAAGCAGCAACGTTCACAGTGGCCTGGCATCCTTCTCAACATCTTTTGGCATATGCATGTGATGACAAAGACAGTTATGACAGGAAGAGAGATGCTGGAAGTTTAAAAGTTTGGGGGTTTCCCTCTGATTGAGAGTGTTGAGATTTGTGTGTTTTTATAATTAACAAATAAAATTATATATTAGCAGGTATGTGATGTCTATTTCTGGAATACCCATAGGATGTTATTTTGACCGAATATCAATATCTGCAAGTAAAACTGAGTGACTGCACTTGTTTCTAAGAAGTGTTGCGGAAAAACTATCCTTCCAATGCAAATTTTCGCGCCAAAACTGTGTCGTAATTTGACATTTTCTAGTTTGTCTTTAGAATATTAACAGCTTCTACCCTGGAGGTAAGGCTTCCATGAGTTGTCAGGAAAATTGCTGGATTCTCTGATGTTGACAGTCTGAAATAAAATCATACGCATCCGCAGGAGGGGGAGCCGTGGCTGGTTGGACCATACAATTTGTATGTTTAGCAAGATTTTGTGGACAATTTCACGGATGTTCAGGTTTGTTATCCGCCTTCAGCTCTTCAGTTTTTGGGGCACGTACACTTTCATGAAAAAATATCTCTTGCCGATGATCGCCCCTACCCTGAGTAAAATTCCTGGGGCACCCATGAATAATGCATTCACATCGGCTTTCAGGATAAAAATAAAATCTTGATGACGGGAGCCAGGCAGATGATTTAAATGAGTTTTTTCAGTATACAAATTTCAAGTACGTTTTTACTAACACAAAAGTGAAAAACAAGGAGTTCGACTATTTTATCTTGGTAGAGAATACATCCATCGCCTGCTATAAGATTTTTTGGGATTGTTAAGTTTCACTTTGAAACGCATTGTTGAGGTGTCACGCCGATGCCTAGTAGAAGTAATAAACTGTTTCCCAAGAAATAACTTGATAAAGTAGCAAAATAGATTTATTGAATCAAACTAAAATATATGACTTATTATTTAATGTTAAGTCGATTTTTTGTTTAGATCCTTACTGTTAATCAACATCCATTTCTTCTTGGAAGGAATCTTCAACTACTGCTGGATTTTCAGCATTCTCAGTTGTTGCTGAGCTAGTTATCTCACTGGACACAGACTCGTTTTGCGCATCTGTTTCCTGGAAAAACATGAATTAGTTCATTTATTTCACCCACAAATCGATTGCAAATACAGTTTATAAAAAATAGTAGATTCTTAAGTTTACTCTAAATAAGCCTCAAGGCAGCCACAGCCTTTTTATATCCATGCTCAGCAAAGCTGAATAAATAATATAAACACGTATTATAAAAAAAATTTCTGCCTTTTTGTGCTCTGGATAAAATATTATTTCTTGATTTAATCTGGATCCATTCTCAAATGTAACAAGTACGCCAGAAAAAAAATGATATGATTCTCTGAAAAACTAGGCTGTAAATGTCTTTTTCTGGCAAAAATGGCGTCAAGTAGGTTCTCTCTGCACTTCGCATGGAATGTCATTAGTTCATAAAGGATTATGTTCAGCACACGTTAGCTCCTCTGAGAAAAAGTTAGCCATGTATAAAAATGAAATGGATAAAGTTTGACATTCAGACTCCTACAATTGAAATTTGCCTACAATTTTGGGGCTCTAGGAATTGCCACCCGAGAAAATATGATACCCTCACTCTTCAAAAATTTCGGAGGCAGGTACGAATTCACACAGTTATCTCTTGCCGATGAATGACACTCCCCGTGAGAAAAATTTGGTCGAAACTATGACGAAATCTCGCGTGGATGACATGCGTCTACCTGATTGCGAAGCACGCGACGGCTGGAAATAAGGATAAATGTACGGAGAAATCTAGGATGAGTGAAATATGTCTAATAGGTGCGTAGAATTTCCGCGTTAACGTCAAACAATTGAGATTCACCCTTCCCCACCCTGCAACGTTCAATTTTTAACCCCTCCAAAAATCATTGTGAAAACCAGGGACGTCTGAAACGTCAAAAAACGAATCTTGAGCGTTTTTATTTTTGTCGTCTTTTGCTCAAAGTTCCGCTGTCACTGGATAGCTTTTCAAAAACTACAAAGCTTTTTCGTCCATGGTATAGTAGTAACCTTGTGAGGAAATTTAATCAAAATTCGACCGGTACTTTTCAACAATTTCTCGAAAAAGTTTCTTTACTCTGGACTGGATACAAATATACTGTACATATGAAACAAGAAAGTATGTCGATACATATACTAATGTCTGATAACAGGTAAGTATTGTCTTCTCTAGTCGAACGTGAGATCGACTGGCATCCGTGAACTGACAGGCCGTATATCGACGATATCAAATCAATACGAAGTCCGAAAATGTCGATTTTCTGATTTTGTTCTGTTTTGATTCCTATGCGCATACAGGAATGCTCTCAGAAAATCCATATCGGTGGTTCTTAGTCGGGATGCATCGATGATTTCAAATCAATACCTCGTAAGTCCGAAAATATCGCTGTATGCATACAGAAGTCAAAACAGAACAAAATCAGAAAAACGACAATTTTCGAACTTACGAGGTATCAATTTGAGATCGTCGTATAATGCTCAGAGGTTAATTCGTGTCCTTTTGCACATGCGCACTACGATGGCGTCGCTTGGCTAGTTGTACAGGGTGACGCGGGATGGTTGTATCAGGGTGCACATCAATGTCATGTAACTTTCAAAAAAACAAAATATCCTATTTTGCGATTACAGTATTTCTTCACCAGTGGCGTAGGAAGTAAGCACCCTCTCAGTTCAGTGCTGAGTCGAAGAATGATCCACTGAATGATTCAACCAACGTACCTTATCTCCTTCCTTTTCCTCTGAAGACTTCCTCGGTTCAGGTTCTGCTGCCTCTGCCTGTTGACTTCCTTGTGTAGCCCTTAGTTCGTTAGCTGTCTGTTGACTGTTTCGAGTCGCAATAGTCATGTCAGTAACCATTGTATCGTCCTCGAGACTTTGCATCTGCCGGGGTCTGTCCGTGTCGTACCCCCTAGGGTCTATGGTGATGGTTTTGGTGCAGTTGAACGTTTTGTATATGCCTATCAGGTTGTCACATAGCTCGAACATGTTTGATCTCAGGGAGATTATGATGAATTGGGCGTTTTTCGTTCGATCCTGGAAACACATACAAAGAGGCAGGCTGTTAGAGACATAGGGTTTTTGACATTGCCCTCCCAATACATCATAAACTTCTTATTCATAAGAAGAGTGACCTTACACAGTTATGTTTCTGAACACAATACCAGGTCCAAGAATAATCTAATGCCAGAGTACATCCGGCTTTTAAGATAATGAGAAAAGCATATTATTCGTGCCGGATGAATTCCTCTGGCATGCATTCTACAACATTTATTTTGTTGTTTGACGTCTTATAGTCTCTAGTGTTTTTTTCCGTCAGATTTATCTTTTGTGCCTTTTTTCATGTAAATCCAATTACATTTGTCAATACACATTGTAAAAACAAACAAAAAGAAATTTCTTCGTCCTGTGCAAGTACATATGTATATTGGCACCAATAAATTTGAATTTAAAAGAGCGTGTTAAAGACATAAGTCGGGTTTCAACTTCTATTTTCTGTTTGACATGCTATGAGCTATAAAGGATAAAATGCAGTCAAGTAGATTGACTTGATACTATCAGGATTTTTAACCTAATTTTTTGTGTATATCGTGCAGTTATTTTATTAGAAAGTTGGAAGACGTTGAAAAAACAAACTTGGGATTTTTTAAGCATGATGACCCCTCACAACTTTCATAAAAAGCGCTTGTTAGGTACACAAGTTGGTTTTGACTTCTTTTTTCTGTGATAGATATGCAAAGAGCTACAAAGGAAAAAAATGGAGTCAAGTAAACTGACTCGATACTTTCAAGACTATAAACCTATTTTGTGTGTGTACCTTGAAGTAATTAGAAAGTAGGAAGTAGAAAAACTAAATTTGGTATTTTTAAAAAATGTAGTTTGAGGGCGTCTGAAATTTTTCGTCTTCCGATCATGACTTTGTGTAAAAAATAAGAACCTTACCTTGATGTAATGTGCAACAATAGATACGTTTTTGAAATCTAAGGCGGCATCTATTTCGTCCATAACATACAAAGGAGATGGTTTGTAGTAATGCAAGGCAAATACAAGTGCCAAGGATGATAACGTTTTCTCTCCACCAGAAAGGTTACAGATTTTCTTCCAAGATTTCTTAGGCGGTCTTACACTGAAAGAATAACACGTTACTATAATTTATAGAGATACATTGACCCAAAGCAAAACATAATTTGTCGCTATAGATCATTTTCAAATACGTGACTTAAAGGTCCTCTTATTGGTTGGACGACAAACACAAATGGATTGCCATTTAGTTCAATGTAAATAATTAGCTCCACTATTTTTGCTTATATATCTGAAATACTTGGGGACGGAAATCTGATGGAAATTGTCAGTTATTTAGTTACTGGTAAATAAGTGTTCAAATGCCTTCCTTTATGAGGTGGTGAATTGAATCAAAATAACTCACCACAGTACACACTACTCGTAGCTATTGGAGGTGAGTACCAGATTCCATGCAATCTCTGACATCATCCTTTAAAATGAACCCTTATATTTGGACCAACATGTATAATATGTTATTGACTTACTTGAATTGAATGCCCTCAGTGAAAGGATCGTATGTATCAACCATCTCAAAATCGGCGTCACCTCCTAAAGTGATCATTTGATACATCTCCTTCAGTTTCATTTTAATGATGTTGTAACCCGCGATGAACTCATCTTTCCTCTGAGTTCTCAGCTTATCGTACAATTTTCTCATTTCTGCCCTCTTGCTTATTATATCGTCTAGTTCCCGAGCACGCTCTATGTACACGCCTTTTTTCCTGCAATATTCCTAAGAGAAAGAAAATGTTTTCAGTTAAGGACCACAATTTACTGTCTATATCAGCAGTCCACAAGTTCTTGTAACTTTGATAAAACTTGTTTTTTTTTCTGGTATGTGAACATCAAAATACAACGCACAGCGATCATCTTCTTGCAGACTAATACATTAATCAATGGTCACGCATGACCCACACTTCACCAGAATTCATAAATCTGTTACTGAGATACTGGGATGATAGAAGGTACTGGTCTGTTATTTAAAAATATTTCTGGAAAGTTAAAACGCAAGAAATACTGCTAGATAGAAAGAGGATCTTTCTTGATGTAAAATGTACCTCAATTGCTCTGAGATTTGGTTTGGCAACTTTCAGGTGGTTCTCTGCATTTTCCAGTTCCTTCTGTACATTTTCTACATTCTCATTTTCAATCTCTTCATCTGAATATTTTTTCAATTCCTCCCGAGGTTCGTCTGGAATTTCTTGTAACCTCAATTTTGACACCTAGAAACATACATTAAAAAACATGTTTCGAGTAAAACATGGTTTATTTAGTTTATACAACCTAGTAACAAATATACCAAAGACTTGAAACACCCGAGATAATAAGGTCCGAAAAAATTCCAAATAAGCTATTCCAATCCTACCCCCTCTCATGTGTGATGTTACGTGGTATTAGTGGTAGTAATTACAAACAAAACATGTGACAAGGCAGTACTTGAAATGGATCTGTATTTAAAATTCTACAAAGCTACTCAATTGACAAGTAAAAAAAATGTAACTACATTATCAAGCTCAAAAAATATTTTATACATTAATGACATTCGTTATATTTTTGAATGTAAAATTTACATATTTGCAGATGACTATTAACACGTTAGCTGCCGCTAGCTCTTATAAGAGTCAACGCGAGATGTTCGCCGGTTCCGCTGACTCTTATTAGACCCAAGGTACAATACTGCAGGCACTCAAGGGCACAAATTAGTAAAACGTGATTTACATGGTAAAAAACAGGTATCCAGAAAAAGATGCCAGTCCTGTAGCAAGAAGGGAATCCGTACCCAAACTATGTACGACTGTAGAACATGCTCTGATATTCCAGGATTCTGCAAGTACAATTTCTTGTACACAAAATAGTCTGCATTCACCACAAATTCATGATTGTATTTTAAAAAAAGTTGTTTCATTTCTTATTTTTGATTAGATTCTATCAGATTAGGTGTATTATTTACCGGAAAAGTTTTTGTTATACTTTTATGTTCTCTACTATTTTGAATTACAAAAATTATTTTTATTATTTTATTTTTATTAACGGTCGATAATAAATGTTTTATTTGCTTTTAGTTTATTTCTATTATAAAAAACAAATAATTATCTTCCGACTCTTCTAAGCGCCAGCTGGCATACAGGAAACCGGTTTGTAAGTCAGTGCCGTCGGCTCTTAGAAGAGTCACAAAAAATCTTCTAAATAAAAAAACATTTTACGAAAATATCTCAATAACTGATTTTACGAAGTTATACTACTAAAATAACAAATTAACCATTATACAACTAATTGGGTCCTGGGTAAAACCAACCGAAAAAAGGTGACAGTCCACGTGTTAATAAATTTTATAATTAATATACATATCAGATGAAAATATATAAATATGCTAAATTCTGACTTGGCAAAAGCCATAAATTGGTTAAATGTAAACAACTATAATTGAATGCGTCTAAAATAAAATTTGTGCTAATAGGGGAATACTTAAATGAAAATACTATCACAGTTAGGATAAATGGTGAAGTAATTGAAAAAGTTGAATCATATATTTGGGTATGCACATTGATAGCAAACTAAAGTTTGAGGATAACAAAACATTTCCGAAAAAAAAAGTCCTTGTACATATTCCAAAAAATAGTTTATAATACAATTATTTTATCGCATTTACTACATTGTTCTGTGTTCTCGAAATTACAGGTTCTCCAAAATAAATCTATGAGAATAATATTGAATAAAAATAAGTACAGCAAAATAACTTACTTGGGTTTATTTTTATATTTCAAATAAAAAATCATACTTTGTCACAACATTAGAAACATCACAGAATTGAATAATCACCACAATTATTATGCAAGAGGAAATAGAGATTTCCATTTACACAACTGCAATAGTAATATAACTAGCAAATCAATATTTCAGTAAGGATTACTTGGATTTAATAAACTAAATAATGATCTAAAGTCGATTTGTAACTTCAATATGTTTAAAAGAAAATTACAAGGACATTTCATGGTCAGTGAAAATTCTTAGAGATGCAAGTTTTCTTTTTCTGAATATTTGTATGTTATGTAATAGTACTTTCTAAGATAATCTAATTGCAGCTATCATGCTGAATAAATCTTGAACAACGAAATAAAGACTATTTTTTCTCAATTTCTTTTTCAAGTTTTCGGTGCTGTTGCAATTTTATTTCAATTGTATGTTCTCAAAAGGAAAGTCCCAACTTTTAGGACACCCTTTACATATAAACGTTCAATTCACGTTGAACAACATTCAAACACCTTCTAGCATTCAACTATACTAGGCAACCTCAAATACAATGCCTACCTTCACTTCAAACTGATGTATGTTCCCTTTACATTCACTGATCTGTTTGTTTAGAACCTGGACTTTTTGATCAACATCAACTTTTTCCGATTTTATTTTAGTCTCCTGCTGCGTCAAATCCGCTACAACTTTCTTCAAATCTACAAAATACGATTGATTATCGTTTCGTCAACTACATGACATTAGAGCATCATACCAGAGTAAACATTCTCAATAGCAGTGATTTGTTCGGCAATTTCTTCAACACACTTCAAAAGTTTGGCCGCGTCTGATTCCACCTCGGCTCTTTCATCCCGCATTGCTCTCAAACGGTTCTCCATATCTTCGATGTCTTGCTCCATGTTTTTTATTTTTTCAGTGGTTTTCTTCACATCCCTAATAAAAGTGCGTTTATTAATATATTGTATATTTATAAAGACCCTTGAGGCACTGGCGCACGGGGGGGGGGGGGGGTAAAGGGGGTATACCCCCCCAGACAACTCGAGCAATCTTTGAAAAGGTGTTATAAAGTAAACCTCTCATAAAAAAATCTGTAACTTTAAGAAAGGATAGCGGCAACACTGCCAACCCACTCAGTGCGCATGCGATTAGCGACTACTCTCCCACCAACAGGGCTTCTTCCTGTTGGAACAGGTATAGTCTAGTCTTCTATGGTCTAGTCTATACTATAACTATCTAAAACTGTAATGACTCATCGATGTTCACGTGAACATCACTTAACTACCAGTAGTCGGCTGTTCATAGGCGGGGTATGAATGTTTAACATGGGTGAACTAGATTTGTCACATGCTTAATAAAGCGTGGTTTGAAACATATTGTAAGTCAAAAATTTGGGAATTACCTTTATTCATCGTCGCTTCCACTTACATCTGACAGTAATAAACTGTCTATGATGGTGTCGATGTGGTGGTCAAGCTGCCACATTTTTGTTTCTTCCTTCACAACATGACGGATAGCATTCTGCCAAGCTTCGGGCATTACTAGCTGTATGGAAGTCTCAAGTAAAACCTTAACGTCTGGTAATTTGAAGGTTATGTTATGGCGCGCAATATAACCCTTCACTTGAGCCCAGATGAGCTCTATTGGGTTCAGTTCACAGTGGTAGGGCGGTAACCGCAGCACACTGACACCACATTGACGGGCCATCTCATCAGTCACGTAACTAATGTTCGCAGGTTTGTGCTGTTTAATTTTTTCATACAATTCCGCTTTCACACATGAATCGTCAAACGGGATTCCTTTTTCGCGCAACCATTGCTGCATGTCACTTTTTCGAGATCCCATAGTCGGTACACGTTCGGCTCGACGACTATGGTAGGAAGCATTATCCATGACGATCACAGAGTTGGGCTCAACTCGCTGAAGCACCCCTTGAAACCAGCTCTCGAAGCAGCTGGCATTCATTTCGTCATGGTAATCACCTCCCTTCTTAGAGACGAAAATCAAGCACACTCTTCTAAAAAGCCACTATCGCTACCAATATGAGTTACGATCAATCTTTGACCTTTCCCTGACGGTCCACGAAGACCTGTTGACAAACCTTCAATGCTTGCTTGTCGGTTACTCACTACGTTTTTGTCTATCCAGGTTTTTGTAACTGTGTGACCTGCATTTAACCATGTCTCGTCCAAATAATAGATTTTTCTGCTTTGTCGCCTATATTCAATCATTTCGCGTAGGTATTTTCGACGCCAGGCGACTATTTCAGGTCTCTCTATCAATACTGACTTCCGATTACGCGTTTCGTAACGAAAATTAATTTCGTGCAGGGATTTCCTCATTACCTCGACGCTCATTTGGGGTATAATTTCATTTTCCTTGATCGCTGCATGTACAGCCTTGAGGGTTGCTATCTCATTCCTAAAGAGGCCTTAACGCCATTTTGCTATCGTCATCCATTTTAACGGCCTTTCGTCCCTTCAAATTAAACTTTGGATCAGTAGTAGCTCCAGTTTTCTTCTTTTCATGCACCATTCTGCGAATGGTCCACTCTGGAACGCCTGTCATACTTTCACAACGCGCGAGTGCATCTCCCTGCGACATAGTTCTGTTCAGATAATTGAACACGTTGAGCACGATTTCTTTCGCGTCCCTCTTCAGTGCTTTACGAAGCCGTCTACTTGTTCCCTGGTTTTCAGTACTTCCACTCGTGCCATTTGTACTCTCCATGGTTAAGTACAACCAAAACAGTAACCACAGAAACCGCAACAATAACAATCACACAACAATTCTTATAAAAACACACAATATGCGATCGCTCAACGAAACACGAGTCTGCCGGTCGAGGCGCGTCTTTGATTTCATTGGTTCTACCGGCGGAGAACAATCCGCCATTATTTTCATCTCTGTCTGTGCTGTTGACCACCGCAAAGCTACAGAAACGACATATGTCGTACGATATACGGCTGTACTGGAAGGAAGCCGGGATCGAGCTCTGATCACGTGTTGATCACGCGTATGAGTCATTACAGTTTTAAATAGTTGTAGTATAGTGTCTAAATTCTGTACCTGTCTGGAGTCTGCAACACAATTTGGCTGAGAAGTGAACAAGCGGAGTTTTGTTGATATGGTTGGTATTAACGCTATTTTGTATGTTCTATTGATTTTTTATTTTCCACGCATAAGCCAGAAAATTAATTTTTGTTTGTTTTTAATTTTTATACTATAAAAGAAACGTGTCTAAAAAAATGACAGACGGAAAAATGGAAATTAATATAATTTCAATTACGAAGTGTTTGGTCCATACTCCAGCTATCATTATCATCTGTCTATTTTGTCTCGGAAGTCCCTGTATATAAGCACTTCAGTGCATTTCGTTCGTCCGAGATGGCAAATTATTTATTTAGTTTTTGAAAATTGCGTGAACTTAAGAAATATTGTTTTCCAAACAGAAAAGGTTCTTTGTTATGAGATACTTGAATGCGTGGAAACCAATAATGCCGTTTATTTGACAATATTTGTGTAACTTTTAGTGCTGGTTGACGGCTGCTGTTGTCAGGATGAGTCAAAGGAAACAGAATAGCATCGATTGGTTCCTTTCTAAGCAAAACAAACTGTCTGATCCACCGGCACAAGAATTACCGGAAAAAAGTTAATCCTGCAATTCAACCTGAGCCTTCTTGATGTCGCACCGTATGCTGAACCAAGTGTTGAACAATCGGGTAGGAAACCTACCTTCAGTGGCAACTTGTCTTCCCATGAAAAATATACCTTATTGACGTGTGTAGTGATCCCTAATGACTCTTTCAAATATCCATATTCCACACACTTGAAAAATAATAAAGAAGTGAAATGTTACTTATCAAAAAAACACTTTGAGAAATTTACTGGGCTGTCATATTCAGAGGAACTACAAGGGATTTTCTGTAACTATTGCGTGATTTTTGCAAAATTAGGAGTGCATAAATCAACTAAATTGTTAAAACTTGTTACCGTACCACTAAAGAAATTTTCGAAACTGTATGACAAAACCGGTGATTGTGAGACACACGAGAACTCAATATATCATAAGTAGTTTCAGATGCTACAAACTTTTTAAAGATTTACGAAAATCCAGAGAATGATATAAGAAATATAATAGGTTCGGAGCGGATTAAGCAAGTATCAGAAAATCGACAAAGATTGACTCCTATAATAGAATCCATAATTTTTTGGGACCCCAAAATATACCACTTGAGAGCATGGAGATGGGGGACGAGTTTTTTCTAATGACAGCACGAATCACGAGGATGTCCTTAATAATGAAGGGAATTTTAGAAAACTAATACGGTTTAGAGTCGAGAGCGGCGACAATTTATTGAAAAAAAACTTAGAGAACTCAAAAGCACATGCTACGTACATAAGCAGCCGTATCCAAAATGAAATTATATAATGTTGTGGCGAAAAAATCTTGGATATAGTTTTAAGTCGCGTTAGGCAAAGTCATTATTACAGTATTATATTTGACGAAACTACAGACATTAGCCATAAATCACAAATGTCAATCGTATTACAGTAATGTTATCAAAAACATATTTACGAGGACATCATGGAATTTGTGGATTGCTACTCAAATTTTGATGAAGAAACAATGGAGCCCAAACTCACAGGTCAAATTCTTGCTCAAACAGTCAAGCATTTCATTAAAACCAAGACTCAAAACTATATGTGGGCATTGGTACTGATACGTGTAACCTAATGTTAGGTGAACAAAAGGGCGCTGTAATGGAATTGCAAAAATGTTTGCGAAATGCTCTAAAACGCCCATGCGCAAATCGTGCCTTGAATCTTTCGATTCCAAAAAGCAGCAGTGTCCAAGCAGTAAGAAATACTGTAGATATAATGAAGGAAGTAATTGCGTTCTTCAAACCATCCGCTAAAAGAAATACAGTATTAAAAAAGAAAACTAGACGGATAACAAATTCATAGTATGTGCGAAACACGGTGGGGCGAGAGACATGATTCTGTGCTCCAATTTGAAAGCATTCGAGAAAATTGTAGAGGTACTAAGTAAATATTATATCAAATTGGAAATATTTCTTCAAAAGCGGAGTTTTTGAGGACTGCCATTACTTCCACCCAATTTATCGTATCACTAAAGTGTGTGATATATTAACTTTAACAGTCAAGCTGAGTAAGATTTTACAATAAAAAAAAAATTGACAAACAATACGCTGTCAAACTCATAGGAAATATTATTTCAGTGGTACAAGAAAAACGCGCAAATTCCGAAAAACACTTTAGAATAAATACTATTCGCATCTATAATTATGAATAATAATATTGAACTGACTGTGCCAAGAATAATAAGCAGGCAAATGAACAGACCGAACATAGTTACGTCTGACAAGCAAAATCATTACAGACCGAACCTACACGTCCCTTTGCTAGATAATATATTACTGCATTTGGTATACCGGTTCAATGAAGAATCTTTGAATATATACAATTTTAATATTTTCTTTGCGTCAGTATTTAATTCAAAAACTGAAGCTGAAGCAATGGACGTATTAGAAACAATCTCAAAATATTTGCATGGACTAAATAGTAACGAAAACAAAGATTTAATAAGTACCAGATTAAAAGCAGAATTTGACCTTTGGAAGTCACGTGCACAAGATATTATAGACAGTGGAATGTCACTGTATTTATCATGTGATGAAAACATTTTTCCTTCATTTAATAGATCCCTACAATTATTGATTTCATTGCCGGTATGTGTTGCGACATCTGAAAGAAGTTTCTCCCATCTAAAGAGGATAAAAACTTGGCTGCACTCCACTATGTTACAACAGCGATTAGTGGGTTTAGCTCTTTTCTGAATATAATCATAGATCGGTTCGCCAGCAAAAAGAATAGGCGCCTTGATTTTGTAATATGATAACACCTGAACTTTGCCTATGGTTGTCTCTCAAATCCATCTCCCTCCTGTTGGCCAATAAATAAAAAAGCAGATGTAGTTAAGGGTTTACTTACGTTTAAACCACCACGGTGATCTTTTCCAAAGTATCCAATCAAGATATGTGGTATTATTTATTGGCCAGCAGATTGATACAAAAGTCTGCTCCAATTCTGTTCAAATCACTTTCTAAGCTAATGTAATGATTGTTTTATTTTGAGACTGTGAACTGATGTAGTTTCATAGTTGTTTTTTGAGACTGGCTAAGAGAATGTAGTTATGCAATGATTATTTTTTGTGTTTTTCGCATGATTAAGAATTTTATTTTTACATTCAGTTTTATAGTTTATAGAAGTCGTAACATATTTGTTATTGTTATTTTTTTCATGAAGATGTACTTTTTGTTGTTTTGTCTGACATTGTTATGTAGAAAAGTCTATGATAGATTATATTATTTTGTATTTTTGTTTTAATATATGAAGATTGCTCGAGCTTTGTTTGCTTTATTTACATTTTGATTTCGTAAGATTCATAGTTAAAAAAAACTGTATGTATTTTCTACAGAAATTACTGTAACAAATTCGTATGTCTGCATATGTCCATGCTTTTAATGTTAAATCATTATAACACTTCAGTACGTCACACTGAGAATTTACTTTCCATTTTACCCCTCCAGATTGAAATCCTGGGAGCGCCACTGCCTTGAGGGCTGAGTGCCGTTTGAGGGTTGATCTGCCCTTGGAAACGATGCAACAATAACGTTTTCTTGAGGGACGATCAAGGGAGGATTTGAGATTTGCATTTCATAGTAGGCTGTATTAGATGTCATCACAGGCTGCCATTGATGCCAGAAATATTTTTCGTTGCCGACTGTATCTATTTAGCATTTTGATGATAACTTTGGGATGGACTGTATTTGTATTTATACTAAGTGACATAAAATGCAACACCCAGAATTGTTTATTAAATTTTGATGAAAACTTGTAAACATATTTGCTAGCTTGGAAGTATACGCTGATAAAATGTCGAAGGCATTCCGATCCGTACTTTTTTGAAATACACCAAGTCATCAACCACCTAATCCAATCAATGCCGCGACGACTTAAAGAATATGTAGCGAACAGAGGAACTTCAACACATTATTAACATTATAGCGGGATATTTGCGAAATTTCGAGTTAAAATTTTAATCATTTTCTATTTATCAGTAGACCTAAAACTTGTAAAAGTATGCTCAAAATTACAGCACTCCTATTTGGTGTATGCATTTTCTATGTCATTTAGCAAGCTTTATCGAATTATAATAGTAAAACGTTCATACAGGAACCAGCATTACACTGAACTGTAGACGTCAGCTGAGGTATTACGTAAAAAATCGATATAGCAAACAAATCGGTATAAAGTGAACATGTGGAAAAATATCCAATGGAAATGCAAGCAAAAACTAAAAGAATTGTGGGACAACATAAAGTAAAGATAGGTATAGTTGTAGTCACCGTTTTTGGCGGGTCAAAGTAAGACTACCAGTATCCCTTTATCCGCAAAGTTGGGGTTTTCCTTTACACGAGAAATAGATCTTGAGAAAATAAGCGGATTTTCTTAGTAGCATACACACCAATGTCTTAAGAGAACCGAGATATTAGGCTCCGCAATCTCAATCAAACCTGATCCAAACCTCAGCCGGTCCTATCCCTCGATGACGTCCACAGCGCCAGCGCCAGCGTACAGTAATACGACGTACGACTATGATGTAAATTCGCTAGTATGTAACCTAACCGACACGTCGGTAGTGTAGGTCAACAAACCATTACGTTGGTAACCGATTGCTGTTCAAAAAAAAAAAAAAATGGCACACTCATACACCAATACAGAACTAGTCGACGTGCTGTTAATTTAAGGTGAGTGTCTTCAAAATGCGACCAAGGCTTCGCGAGTGTACGCAGATCGTTTTCCCAGACGTCATCATCCAAGGCTCCGTAGATTTGTTTACCTTGCGCAGAGACTCAGGAATACGGGTCTATTGGAGGCATGTCGAGGTGGGAGACCTAGACAACCCTGAATGGTGCAAACTGAGGAAGAAGTACTGAATCTCCTAGACGAGAATCCTTCAACAAGCACTAGGGATGCGGCTAGACAAGTGCAAGTGTCGAAGACTAAAGTGTGGCAAACGCTGCATGATGAGGGATTGTACACGATTGTACAAGCCCTCTAAGCTGATAATTTTCCTGCAAGAATGCGGTTTTGTGAATGGTTGTTGTACCAACATTACAATAATCCGGACTTTTTGAAGTGCATATTAGTCACACACGAATCCACGTTCACGCGTAACGGGGTGAAAAACCCTGTCCGTCGGTCACAAAGAGTTCGGACTAGGTTAGAAGAAGCTAAGCCAATATGATCTTAAACGATTGTTTGTTAGCAACATCAACAAATTATTGTTTACACAAAATGTGACCTTGAACGAAAATTGTATAATTTTCCCAGAGTAGACATCTACTTTTATCGCGCTTAAACTGCTTTTTACATAACATGTAACACTTCACCATTTTCGAGAATAGTCCAAAATGACATATATTGCACTGAAATGTTTCAAGATCCTCAAAACTCTGAGAAAATATCACTAAAACACACGTAAAGATGACAACATGAGCAAAATAAAGCTTTCCCTCAATTGCACAAAGCCGCAGTATAAAACACCAGAAATCAGCCCAGCTGTTCTCAATTTGCCACCACAGCGTTGCCGCGTTTAGTACGCAAATATTAGTTTTTCTGGAAATACCACCGGGATATAACAATTAATATTTCTTAATTGTCTTCTCAAAGTGATTGAGCATCTATCAGTTTTTTTTAATATCAACGATTCCTCTAAATTTGTCCAGTATCTCCGTCAGTCTTTGCTTTGACAAGTTTCAGTGTTACACATTATGAAATGATTATGAAAGATTTGAATTTTTTTAAAATATTGTACCAAGCTACCAAGTAGTGCACCTAATAATGTCATACCAAGGCTGTACGCTTAAATTCAAGAAAGCAACTACATATGCATTGTTTAGCAATATTTAGCACAAAAATAAACCATTCCGCCCCAAATTTATCAACAAAGTGCTAAATAGATACAGCAAGGAAAGAAAAATCTTTCTGACATCGATGACAGCCAGTGATGACAGCTGTAACAGCCTACCGTGAAATGCAAATGTTAAGTCCTCCCTTGATCGTCCCTCAGCGAAGCGTCATTGTTGCATTATTTCCAAAAGTAGATAAACCTATAATCATCACACAGACCGGAAGGGACATCTATAAAATGGACTCTAAACCATTAGAAGATACCCACAGTCCAATTAAAAGCCATTGCCTACGCGAAACCAGTATGCTGTTATAAAAAAAAGTCTGAACACAAACCTCCCTGCAGTAGCTGCAGCAACCTTCAGCCTAGTTATCTCGTTTCTGCACTTGTCAATGCCTTGACTGGTCTCCTTGATCTGGCTATTTAGTTTCTTCATCTTACCCAGTGTCTTATCATTAATTTCCTTGGATATCTTATCAACTTCAGTCTGCAAGGCGTTTGCAGCTTCAGAAGCTTCCTCAAACAATTTTCTTTTCTCCTCTATCACTTTAGTCATTTTCCTCACTTGTGCTGGGTTTGCTTTAGAACTATTTGCTTTGTCTTCCAGTTCTTTTAGTTGACGTTTCAGTTGGGGCTGCTGCTGTTGTAATTGCTAAAAAAATGTTCAAAATAGAAAAAAACTGTACTATACAATATTTGTTGAAATAAAGAATAGGTTCCGAATTAAATTTGGAATGTTACCTGCAATTCCATAGTGAACTTTTCATAGTCAATTTTCATTTGTCTCAACTCCGGTTGTAGAGCATTGACCTGATTTTCGAGAGAATTATGTTTCTGCCTTAATTCACGAACGCTGTTTTCCATTTCTTGCAGACTTTCTTCTAATTGTTCCAACTCTCTCGGATCCACGTTGGATACTTTGACCGATTGGCCCATCCTTCCCTTGCTGACAGTTTTTCCACCACCACTCATAGTACCTGGAAAACAGCAAAAAATGTATTCCCATTCCCAACCAACGAGAATCTCTAAGAGACCATTCTTACCAAAACAACTGACAACCTCAACGCAACTGGACACATGTATTCAAATATAAGCGTTCACGCAAAAAAAAGGATAACGCGACCAATTGCTCGACAGTCGTTCGCACTGACGGTTTGCAGTTGCCGGTCAGTTGACGAAAGATGTCATCTGTTGGTTCATTGTAACAGCTAAAGTTTGGTCAAATCTTCAAGAATTAATTGATAATCGGATAAAAGTACTCATGCTGTGTGTTTTTGAGTCGTTTCAGGTGGTTCTGTTGGTGTAGTAGCGTTGAAAACTAACATTCCAGGAGCGCTACCTGGGTACCAGGGGGTAGGCTTATCCATAGGGTGGGTGGCATATCTCTGAACGCTACTCTTACGACTACGCGGTGTACCCTAGGCAACGTAGCTTGGTAACCACTCTGACGGCTAACGAGAATAGAGTAGCAGGGTTAAGTCCAAAACCGACATAATGTCACTTTTCAAGTTATGTACTAGCCAAAACGACCTATGACTTTTTATTCTGAAGAAAGCTCCTGGCACTGCTCGTGTAGCTCACTTAAGCTAAAGTGTATGGAAATGTGCATAGGGATGAATGGAGGTAAGGTCTCTTCTATGGCCTCGAACGTTCCTCTGCTCCTCTGCTTGGCTAAAAGGCTCTGGTCGAGTCGGCCGTCTTTCCTCGGTACTCGTGGGAACAAGCATCGGATCAAAGAAAAACAAAAAAGACAATCCAAGGCTGAGGTCAAAACAACAAGGCCAGGATGAGCATCAGGCCGCGGGGTCGTCTGCTCGTCCAGATAGGCTACCGGAGGCTAAAGCTGAAGAGACAGAGAAGCCAAAGGGTTCCTTCAAAGTCAAGTCGCTGGTGGATGTCCAATTGATGACCGACGACGAAATTCGTTTCGCGAGAGTGTCAGGATTCTCTAAACAGAGAATCAATGAAATGGTGAAGAAAAGTTTAGATTAGGGAGAGGACAAACCAGAACCCAACAGAAATATAAAGCTCTGGAAGGTCAGAAAGCCTGGGAGCCCTTGACCAAAGGACAAAATGCCCAAAAAAGGTCAAGACAGGAAGGCGAAACACCACCTACCGCAAGGCGAGGTCAGCGCGGATTGGCTGCGGGAGTTTGTACCGCAGCTAGGGCTTTTCGAAGGCTAAAGCCTAAGAGTTTTGGAGGGGGATGACCTCCAGAAGCTCTGCGTTGGCTCCGTCTACGCACTACTCAAAAAGGACAAAATAACGCGAGCAGCATCGTCACCCGACTGAGGAACAAGGGGCTCCACACAAGCCTTTGGACGGTGCTCGACAAGGTGGCGTCTAAGAAGGGCCAGCTGTGGACCTTCTCAACGGACTAAGTCCGCCGAGGAGATTCGCAAGCTGGACAAGCGTCCTACCTGTTCATCGGCAGGGTGAAATTTCAGCTTAAGGCGCAGGGACAACCGCCCAAAGATAACAAGGCGGACTGCAGTCGCCCAGAGCCAGTTATCGTGGGGGTTCAAGCGCGGAGTCAGATACTGATCGGCAAAACTCAAGAAGCCATCACTGGAGGAGCGGACTGACATCATGAATGTGGAGCTGGGAAGGCCAACGCGCGACCCATCCACATAACAGAAAATTGGGAACCGGGGTTCCTGCAAGTGAATCTCCATCATGCAAAGGCCACTTCGGCCATTTTTTTGAAGGAGATTCGAAAAAGAAGGCATATATGTTGCCGTCTTGCAGGAGCCTCGGTTATTCAATACAAGGCCGTAGGCGAATCAGGGGGTAAAGAATCATACTGTGTAGAAGGCTAAAAACCAAGAGCATGCTGCTCTGCACCGGCGACTGCCCTCACTACATCAATGAGGGGAAGAGGACATGGATTGTGGATGAAGGTCGTCGTGGCCTGTTGCGAGGACAGACATATCAAGCTTATGGGATGCGATGCGACTGCGTACCACGCCAGCTGGGGAAGCAGCAAAATCAATGGAAGATGTGAGTCACTCTTGCAATTCATTAGTAGTGAAAGGTTGTTAGTATCCGCCTACCATGAGAATTGTCGCGAAAATAACGGTCCTTAACAGGTCCGTTGGTGGTCAAAGCACCTTGAAAGCCGTACGGCAGAGGTGTGAAGACTTTTTAACAAGGCAGAGAATAATCATGACTGAGATAAGTACAGGGATGAACTAACAAAGTACAACCTAGAAGTCCGAAAGGCCAAAAGAAACTCACGAAGTTTAGAAAGTATATGTATATGTGGGTCACAACAGATTCACTTGTGTCGCAGTGACGATAAGGCTGGCAAGCCAATCCCTTTCTTCTGTAATCGGTAATGATGGAATTTAATAGACAGACCAAAAGTACATAAATCTGGCGAGAACGCAAAAGCAACGCAACCAAAGTCGAAACCGGAATGATGTCAGGTTGCTTTTGGTGAGAATAGAGCCTTAATCGTCCAAAATAGTTTAGCTTTTCTTCATTTTTACTTACCAGATGTCTCAATCAAACCGCCACCCAGAGTAACCACACGATACCGCTGGGCCCCATACGCGATTCTTGTGGCTTGTTCGATATCGTCAGCTACAAGAGTGTTTCCTAATGCATAATAAAACGCTGTGCGAATAGTTTCGTCGTTCACTCTCACCAGGTCGAACAGTCTATGCACATTTTCAGGACTGAAATTGCAGATCATTAATAGCATGAGCAGAGCGCCTCATAATGGTTAAAATTAATCAACATGTTCCACCAGAGTGTGCCGAGCCGTATAAAAAGCCGCGCCTGCAAATTTATACTGAGAAACAAATGTATCTCAGGCTTGAGATCAATGTGTATGAGAGAGAAGTGTGCATGGACACATACAAGGTCTGCCGCAAAGTAAACAGGACTTTTGAAAGATATCCTATACAAGTAGCGCCATTTATTATTGGAGACAAGCGTTGGACAAGTACATCTGTCATTGATGCCCTGTTAAAATTTCATCGAGTTATCGCGCTCAAAGTGGCAGTACCTTTTTAAACCTGGTAAAACATTTACCGAAACTCATCAGATGTTGGTGTAAGTGTATGGTGATAATTGTTTATGTCCTAGCCGAGTCCACGAATGGTTTACCAGGGCTCTCCAACTTAATGAGGCCCAAGGGCCACTTCAAAAAAAAAAATGCAGTTTGGAGGGCCGCATTATAAAATCTTTCTATACAACATTATTACAGAGTTAATGTAAAAATTGTGCATATTCGGTATTTGAGAGTAATTTATACATGTGATGTATACATGACCCGTGAAGCGGGCCGTAAGAAAGGAGTTCGCGGGCCGCATGTTGGACAGCCCTGGTTTACACGGTTCAACAAGGGTCGTGAGTCGTTGGAAGACGACGAACATGCTGGGCAGCCAAAATTTGTGATTACGTCGGAAACCGTCGAAAAAGTGCGTGAATTTATAAAAAATGTTCATTGGCAACCATAGAAGTGGAATTAAATATCTCTAAGATTTAATCCATCGCATTTTGACTAAGGATTTTAGCATGAGAAAGGTATTCACGGTTTGTTCCGCACAACCACACGGATGACCAAAAATTGCTTCGAATTCAACATTTGGGGGCATCATTAAAGAGGCAAAAAAGACAAAAACTTTATGTACAACATTGTGACTGGTGACGAAACGTGATGTTTTCAGTGCAATCCCGAAAACAAGCGTCAAAGTGCCGAATGGAAGCACCCGAGCGATAGAAATTCGAAAAAAAGCCGTTTGGAAAAGTCCAAAGTGAAGACAATGTTGATTTATTTCTACGATTAGTAGGGAATTATTCACAAACAATTCATTCCATCTGGTCAAACGGTGAATGCTGTGTTTTATCTTGGTATTATGAGGCATTTTCTGTCGCGAATTGGTCGTGTTCGGTCCGAATATTACGAGTAAGGAAGCTGGCGCTTGTTGCACGATAATGGATCATCTCATTGATCGACGCTTGTGTCCGATTTTTTGATAAAAAAATATTTTAACCATCAACCACTCCCCATAGTATCCTGATTTAGCACCATGTGGCTATTTTCTGTTCGGTAAACGACATTTGGTCATGAAGGGATCGCGGTATGCCGACGAAGAGGCCTTCCAAAAGACGTCGGCGACCAGTTTGAAGGACATCCCGGTCAATGAGCTAAAATCATCATTGGAAAACCTTTTGGTCCGTGCAAATCGCTGTTTCAACTCTGAAGGAGACAATTTTGAATAACAGAAATCCATTCTCCGAAACAATAAATGTTTGTTCATTTTTCTTTAGTTTAGTTTGCGACAGACCTTGTACGAGTATGCTAGGCAGAGACAGAAGCCGGCTGGATAGCGAAGCTCATCACCGTGTTGCCTACCAATGCGTTTCCGACATGATATTCCAGTTCCTTGAAATAAGATGCATGCTAATATGCGTTGGTTTATTCTCTACGCCCAAATACTCGTAATGGTTTTATTTTGAGTGTACAAATTTTTGAATTATGAAGTGTGTCGAATCTGTTTCGGATTGATTCCCGATCAGTCCTAAAGGCGCTTCAATTTGAGCCAGGATCGCCACAAATTCTGCAACATTGCATCATTGGTTCGTTTGATAACACCGCATCTTGTACATTCCAAGTCAAGGTTTCAACCTCCATGATCATAGTTGAGCGATTTTGGCTCACTTTTATCTTAATAGCCAGAACACAAGCCCCGAACTCTGGACGAGTTGAAGGAGGCAATTCGCGTGGTAGTCGCCCAAGTTGAGAAAACGATGTTGCTGAGAGTCTACGCGAACTTTCAAGAACGCCTCCAGCAATGCATTGTCAAATAGGGTCACCACATGTGATTTTCCACACCTATTGTGACAAACGATATATCATTGTGAACTCGAATCCGTCAATACATTATTTTTTTGAGTAAAAATTATCGATTTTTTGATTTTTCAAAAACCATCCGAACTTTGTGTTGGACGCTGTAGTAGAGCGTGATCTTTACACATCAATCGCTCATTGGGAAGCGCCGTCCTGTTTCGAAATGGTTTTCACGTACATACACACATGCAGTCATAATTTGAATTGCGTAATGGTATTTGTTACACTTTCCGACTGCTCACTGTCGCAAAATGTAACAATAACCCTGGATTCTAAAACAAATTAAAACATCAAGTCGCATCAAAATTCTAATCAAAATGAATACTCCTCCTTCTTGGGTTTGACAGTAACCTAATCTATTGTAGAAGCCTGTGAGTACATTCTCAGGTGTAACATATTGGCAACGCGGCATATTGCACGCCTTTCTGCGACACTGTTGCAACGCAATCTGGTGATGACCTTCGTAATTGATGTGTTGATACACACCTCTCTGTAGATCATAGGATTTCTTTTTCCGTCGTTGAAAAGTGCTGAGAATCCGAAATTTAGAAACAATTATGGGGGGAGGTTGAGTATCGAAGATAGATGGCATGTTTAAGAACAGGAGCGTCTTCACTTTTAACACGACTCTGATGATGGGAATTGTAATTAAACATTCAAATACTGAATATGGTTATCTTAAGCAATGATCTAGACAGAAAATACACAATTCTTGAAAAATGTATTGAACTGCAAACTTTTCTACGAACTTACGTTTTTATTTTTGTATTCGCAGTTGCTCTCAGATGTTCCTGTTTTTCTAACACGATGATTGTTACTCGTCCGATATCGTGTTTCTTCAAGTAATCTATACACCAATGTGCTGTATCCACTGTATCAACCACGATATTGTCCAATGGTCCACAGGCTGTAGAAATTGCAATGTCATACTTTTGATCAATTGCTCCCAAGTCTCCCTGAAAATAATGGATGATTTTCAATATGCATCTAAGGTAGGATTAGAGCAACAGTCAGAGATAAAATTACCCGCAAATCATCGGGTACATAACCACAAATAACACACTTAGAAGCAATTAATTTACTGCGCTGTCGAATCTGATAAACCCAATCTTTTGGTGAAAAAACGTATACCAATGGAATTACTTACCAAACGACCATACAATCCAGGACATTTCCCTTCCCTCTTTTGTTGCATCAAAGCATCCAAAACTCGTCCCTGTGATCTACTTGCTTGCATAGAACTTCGACGTTCTTCCAAGAAGGATCTCTTTTTCCTAATCTCATCAAGAAGTTTTGCCTCCTGCATTTTAACAGTGTTGAACTCTGCCGTAGCATCTTTAAGCGACTTTTCAGTTGCTGGAATTTTCTTCTTCAACGTATTTACTTGTCTGGTGCGTTCTTCAATGGTAGAGGCAGCGTTTTCATATACAGTTTTCACGTCTTCGTATTCGGTTCTAGCTCCATCTTCGTTGCTTGTGTATATTTTCAGTTCCGACTCTGCTAATGCGAGCTGCAATTAGTATTTTTTGCTACACATTTGCATGGTCCAAGGTGTTTGCTTCTGCCATCTCATTGAATTAGTTCCAGAAAGTTTAGTGTTAGGAAAGTATAAGATACCAGACAAAAATTGTCTATACCATGATTTGACCAAGGTAATGGTCCAGGTTAGTTTCCAAATTATCAGTAAACAGCCAGGAAAAATTGAGGCCCCTAAATGTCTTCAAGTCAAAGTATTTCTGGGGTCAAAAGTATAGGGTTGCACTTGGAAGAATCATTCTGGACCTTAATTTGACCTTCAAGGTGAAAGGTTAAATCAGAGATTACGATTATGTAGCCACTATTTAAATTTTGGTATGATGGAAATAATGTACACCGAAAACTTAACGCGCCGGCCATGTTATTGTTGTAAATTGGACCTAAAAATAACGTTTTCTTACCGCTGCTTTTGTCTCATCTACAGTTTTTTTCAACACAACTAAGTCTGTTTGAATTTCTTCCTTTTTTTCTTGCAATGCCTCTGTTTCAGTTCTTATGCTAGCTAAAACTCTTGCTTTTTCTTCATCCAGCTTTTCCTTTTTAGCCGTCAGCTCTGCTTCTTTTTTCTCACATTCGGCAATTCCCTGGAGAAAATACAGTTCAATGGTAATATAAGATCTTTATTTTTCAATCTTGTACATTACATCAAAAAAACTGTCCAACTATTAACAGTTTGGTGATCCTTGACTCCAATGACATTTGCAGTTTTCAATAAAACTTGAGTATCAGTTAAACATTGCTGTATTTCTCACCTTTTCTGTTTCCTCTGGGGTCCTTTCTAGTTTATCCAATTTCTTTTTCTCCTGAGCTAGCAGCTCTTTAGTTTTCTTACGCCTTGTATTCATCTGTACCATGTTTTCTTGTAGCTGAATGTCTTTTTTGTTTGCATTATTGAATGCTTCATTAAGTTCTTCTTTCCTTTTTTGAAGAGCTTCATATCGCCTGTAATAACACCAGGAAAGCAAAATTCAGAAAGTAGCACTCTTGTCAAAAATCTAAACTTACGCTGATTCTACATGTAAGTCCTTCGCTTTCTCTTTCCTTTTGTGCTCTATGTCTGCTAAGGTGTCTAGGAATTTTTTCTGAACTTCAGCAATCTCACTTTTGTCCTCATTGATCTTTGTTAGCTTTTTATTCAAAACATAACTGAAAATGTATATTAGAATTTTTACTGCACACCACATGGGATATAGGATAAAAACTCCCAACACACAAAAATATTTGATTGCCGTTATACAAAGGGTACTATAAAAGTTTTGCAATATGACTTAACAAAAGACGCAGGAGGCTGCATGTAGCCGCCAGAAGCACGTCTGTTGATTTAGTTATTTATTCGTATTGACAGTGTAAAGTGCGGACTAGGGCGTCGTGGTCACGTAGTGAGGTAGGGGCAGTTTTACGGTATAACTTTACGCGTGGTTTAAGCATAGACCAGTATTTAAAAGAAATGACGCCTGCATTAAAGACTGATTGTCCTCATCGTACGACTATACTCAGGTGGTACAGAGAATTCCAAAGGGGCATCTTCACTCTGGAGGACGCTGAGAGGGAAGGAAGGCCGCGAAAGTCAGTAATAGAGGAAAACATTACTGCAACAAAGACTGGATAGTGACATACTAACAGATAGAGGAGACCCTACACCTTCATGCACCAGCAATTCATTCAATTCTGCATGACAATTTATATGTAAGGAAACTTTGTTCTCTCTGGGTATCTCATAGCCTGACGGAAGAGCAGAAGACTCGTCGTACGACTAGGTGCCAAAAGATGCTGAAAATGTTTGATAAGGGGCAGATAAGTGGTACACAGGACAGTGCCTGCCTGAAATCATAGACACTATGAAAAACCTGCGGCCAAAGTCAAGAATGGACACTTGGTACCTCCACGTTGACAACGTTCCAGCTCGCAGAGTATTTGACACCCTCCTTACAGACCAGATCTTGCTTGCTGTGACTTTGAACTTTTTCCACATGTGCAAATGAAGCTAAAAGGAAAATCATTTTCTAGCAATGAGGACCTTCTGAGAGCTTGGGACGAGTGTGCCACACTCCCGGGTGAAACTTTTATAGTACCCCTTGTATGAAGTGTAAAAGAAAGGTTGGAATGCAACAACTACTTACATTTCCTTTTGGTAAAGGAAATTCTTGCTGCTCACAACAGTATTTTCTACTTTCAAAAACCCTACTGCTTCTTCCATAGGACCTTTAAGTTCTTGTACTTCTTTTTCCACCATTTGGAGCCTGTTCAGTTTTTCAATTCTCCTCTCTGACAGGATGTCCACTCTTTCATGAACTTGGGCAAGTGGTTTCTGAAAGAAAGTTGTTGTGCATTAAATTATATTTTGTAAGATCACAGTAAACTAAAAACAAGTGTTGGAGCTAGACAGAATGTTCAAATATTGGGAGATAAATTTGAACTAATACAATATTTTTTTATTTATCCTTTTATACCTGAAATTGGATTGTGCAAATGTATAGGGGGGTATTCTAGGAATATAGGAATACCTCTGACAAGGAGTATAAACCTTATAAACTACAAACTCCAAGGATGAAAAGGAATAATTCTGACTCCACTAGACTACATACCTTATAACGAGTTGTGCCAATGATGTCTTCCAAATATTCTAACATACCAGACTCATTCTCATTTTCAGCTTTACATTTCATCATAGCAATTTGTTCTACCTCACCCTTAAATAATAATGAAATTATTATTCTGATTTATTCTAGACAACATAACAGTTGTATTTGACTAATTATATGCTGAATGTACCTGCAAAATCAGGAACCGGTTGTGATCCAAGTCAATGCCATGTTGTTTCAACAGCACTGCAACCTCTTTAAACTGAACTTTTCTACCATTTAACTGATAAAAGGATGAATTATCTTTATTTGCTGTTCTAGAAACAACAAATTCACTACCTGGCACAGTATCATATGCATCACCGTCCTAAAAATAAATTATAGATAGAAAAAAAAGCAAAGGAAAAAAGTCAATAAATACAAAATAAAAATGTAACTTTTACCTTATCTATAATTAGTGCAAAATGCACAGCAACAGTACAGGACTGGATATTTCTATAGTTTGCAGAGTTGTGTAGTAGAACAGATACTTTTTTTGATCTAATTTTTGTAGCACGATATCCAAAAACAAACAGTAAAGAGTCGATGACATTGCTTTTACCACTTCCATTAGGGCCTACTATGGCATTGAAACACTAAAAGAGAGAGAGAGCAGGTTAAAAAATAAAATCCTACAAAATCATATAAGACTCCAATGCAAAAACCTGTTATGTTTGTTGAGGTTAATTGTGATTCTATATTGTCTTGTACTTTTAGTTCTGTAAGATAACAGCTTTCTTCTTCCACTGGATAATGCAAAATTTCCCTTAATGCATGAATAGGTGAATTCACCAATTTAATATAATAATTCTTACATTGGAGTCACATTCACTAAACAATAGTAAGCTGTAAATACATAGGATGTTTTTTTAAAGATCTTAGATATTTTAAGGTTTCATATATTGCTTTAGCAGTCATTCGAGTAGTATGTAAGTATCAGAAATAGATGGTTGCTTTTGATGACACCGAGGTTGGGGGGATCTGGATGGTGGTTACATGATGGGGCTTCTAAATGGAATACATTTTTATTGCTACATATGTTTAATATTTCCAACCTACTTTCATATATTGCTGTTAGATTCTTAGTTATCGGAATCCTACTTAATGCAACATAAGCTGCTGTAACATACAACTTTGTCAGCCATTGTGTGCCTGATTTTGTAGCCCTTCTGATAAGAAATTCTGACAAGGTATGTGTCTACACATTGCAGACCATACTGTCAAGATACATTTGAAATATATACCAGGGTCATAAATAATGCTCATTTAGATGATCCATAAGCAATATTTATTACCTATACTTAGTTTTTTGCATAATTTTGTAAGTTTTATTTTAAACAAATATGATAACCCTACTTGTCTATGCTTGACAGCAAAAAGTATATTCTGGAATTACTTGAAACTGATAAATTTGCTTATATGACTAGTGTTTTATACTTGAGATAGAGATAGAGGAATTCCTATGTGTGCTATTTGCTTGTTAATATTTGACCAGTGTATTATAGTTGGATACTAAAACTAAAGACACTAAAGCATGGATTTTCGGAATGTTTGTTCAATAAAAAATGCCAAATAACCATGTGTTTGCTTCCTCAAATTACAGTGCAATTGTGAGAAGTGAAAAACTGAATACAGGCAACCACTGAACTGTCTGCAGGTTGTCGATTACATCTGTCAGTCTCAACTACTAAAGTATTTCACCAAAAAGCATATATTTTAATACCCAGATTTTATATTATTATGAATTATAAAGTTCAGCAAAGAGGGGAAGATGCATTTGATAGAAATGCTAGACAAATTTAAAGGGATCACTGGAAATAAAAACAGCTCCTTAATAACTTTGAAGAGCAAATTACAGAAACTTTCAATGAAAATGATAACCCAAATAATACATAATAACAAGAAAGCAACTCAAAACATTATGGGACAACATCTAACAAAGGTAGAACTAACTATTTTGCAATAGATACGTGAATACCCACAGTCTCTATGAATTTTCACAAATCTACCCTTTTCAACTGGTAGAGCTCATAGAATGGGCTGCTTTATAAAAAATGATTCATAGTCTATTCTTACTTCCTTGGGTGTACAGGTCTCATAATACATTTTTATTACTTTCTCCCAAGCATTGTTCTAAAGATGTATTAAGGAGCTGTCAGTTTAATTATTTTCAAAGATAAATTTAAATTTATCCAATATATCAACCAGAGACATCTCTGCTTCACTAAGCTTGTTTTTATATTTGCTGTCACACATTATGACCTGTACAGTTCTTTAAAATGTTACAGATTACAAAATATTTATGATTCAAGGAAGCTAACAAATTATTATTTTGCATTTTTTTTTATGTTTAGCACAAATAAACCAAGGTGTCCCAATTTGATCATCAAAATGCTAAATAAATACTGCCAACAAAGAAAAATCTTTATCAAAGAGCCAGCTCCTCTAAGAACTTAACATTCTCAAGAAGTGCTGTAATAGAGAAACTAAAGCACTGAACATAATTTTTGTTTTACGGTACCTTATGGAATGGCCCAAGTACTTGACCTTTTGCATAGCTCTTGAAGAAGTTATTGTCTATTTTGGTGATTATGAGACGTGGTCCAGTTGGATCGAATGAGAGTGTTGGTTTTGTTGGAGGAGGTATCCTGATACCATCAACGAATGTTGCATCATCATCGGAGAATGCTAACTCTTCATCAGAATCATCTTCGTTAGTTCTATTTTCCTTTGCAGTCATTTTGGGCCTACAATGAAAAATTCCATATTACTAAGCCAATGGAGTAATACTAGTAAAAGTAATTTAGCATGATATTCTAAAGGTTTACTATATAAGTGTCTCATCATTATAGTAAAATCTAGTTTGAGGAAAATCAGATCAACATTTGAATTTGTTGTTATTATTATAACCTATAAACCAATGTTCAAATTTCGGCATGTTAGCAAAAATCGGAACATGAATAACTTACTTAAATGTTAAGGAACGTTTGAAAATTCTTCGTATCGAAAGAGAACCCCAGAAATTTTTAATATTCCATTATAACTTCTGTCAGCAACACAAACACACAAAAAACGCCATAAAAATACCCGTTAATTTGAATTTGACAACAATAATCTGCAGTGCTGTCAGTTGGACAGTAAAATAGGGGGAAGAAAATAACCCTAGTATGCATAGAACAAATAGCTAAAAAGAGTTGCCATTTTAATAGGATACACGGTAGCAAATAGTAAGCCCGCCATCTTCTAAGTTCGCTTGAGAGTACATAGAACTGATCTGCTAGTGAAAAGTATGCATGATAAAGCCGGTGAAGTAGCAATCCGCCATTTTCTAACTTCGCTTGAGAGTACATAGAACTGACCTGCTAGTGAAAAGTATGCATGATAAAGCCGGCGCAGTAGCAATCCGCCATTTTCTAAGTTTGCTTGAGAGTACATAGAACTGATCTGTTAGTGAACAGTATGCTTGATAGAGCCGCACGGGTATTACGTATCTTGAAAAGGGATATTATGCTGATTTTTTTTTGATATTATGTAGGTTTTTCTACAAGATGTTAATTTAGCACTAGCGGATAGATACGCTGTGAACTCGTTTTTTAGTTGTAGCTGTTGCCTAAACGTCATAAGGCTTCAGTTATCAATGTTTGGCTCTGATGTGATGTCAAATCTGTTTCAGAGATGAAATTACTGGAGGTCTAAGCTGCAAGTTGTTTGCTTGTGCTGATGATAATTCCATTGGATTTTTGTCTCAAATACACACACTTGAGATTTAAAGCTAGAAAATAGTTGCGCATTCACTTTTTCTTATCTATTCTGGAAATTACATATGCAACTTTGATGAATTTTAAAAATGAGAGAGTTACGAAATGTTCACTGTACACTGTCGAATTAAAAGTCATATAGATGCTAACAGTAATTATACACAAGGCGGGCGCAGTGACGATTTCCCGTAATTCTCCTTAAAGTTTTTCGTAATTTATAACTTTGATCATAACCTGTCTTCAGAAAGGACAACATATAAATAACCCGTCGGGCACACCTAATAGATATACTTCCTTGGCAGCATATTCAGTAATGATCCCACACGGCAAATCACTAATTTTATACACATGTAGACCAATACACATAATCTTCCAGATGCGATCTTGCTATTCAACCAACTTTCGTCTCAGAGATAAAATCTACAGACCACTCGGCCTCACAAAACATATGCAACCAACATTGCGTGTAGTTTAGTTGAGTGATTCCTCCATAGATGAACGTTGACAACGATCTTAGTGAGCAAACGTGGAATGACTGTTTGCGCCCTAAAAACTACCTAGTCTGCAAGATGTCATCTTATAAGTTTTTTTTCACGTTTTATACGTTTTTTACCCAATACCCGTGCCGGTTAACTATTAAAATAGATAAGCAGAAATAAAACATATAAATCAGATCCAAGCGAATAACCAAAATTTCTGTGTTATGTGCCGCGGTTATAATATGGTTCAAGATGACACACGGGTTGATGACGTCAGTTACACGAATCGCTTAAACGCGTTGGTTTTAACCGCGGTTTGTTGCAAGTTGTTTATTTTAGAAAAGCGCGTATATAATCTCTGATTATTTTTATTATCACTTAATAAGCGGTGCTTTTTCGCCTACAACTGTATATGGAAAGTTTAAATAAGAAACCTTTCATAATATTCATGGGAGAAATGTTTTTTCAGATTTTTTTTTAATGATGGAACCATGGCTTTATAGCTATGATAACTTTCAATTCTCTAAATTTTTCCGCATGTCAAAGAAAACATTTATTGATTCAGCAGAAATGATGAAAAAAGAAATTAGCAAAACCATATACAGGTGGATATCATCTATTGAGTTTATATGGCCATATTTTAATATTCTTGTGGTATATGGCTACACAGGATACTTTGTTAAGCATAGAAACTACATTTAAAGTCTCCCCAACAACCGTAATGAGTATAACTAATAAAGTGCTCCACTTTATGGTAAAACTGAAGTTAGCCGGTATCAATTTTATCAAAAATGAAGCTGAAGTACAATAACAATATCCAATATCCGGCAAAATTCTAACTTGTCACATTTCAAATAATAACCAGAAATATAAAACTACGCTTGAGTTGGGTAAATACCACAATTTTGCGGTGATAACTATGACATATAACAGCTGATTCGTGACGTCACGGATCCTATAACCAAACTGATAACTACACTCGCTTGAACGGATCGGTAAATACCAACCCAAAATGGTAAATACCATTTCCATTTGGTTATCCGCTTGAATTTGATTATAGTCAGGAGTTTTTATTTATTAAAATATTCACTACACACTAACAAACTGTACATAATAAAGCTATTTATGATACCTGTGAATTAGTGTTTCAATTAGAAATAGAACTAGGAACTATTTTAGATGTATTTTTGAAATAGGTATATATCAACTTTTATAACAATAACATGCATCTCTGGTATTCTGTGTTATCCAGTAGATATGGTCATTTATAGTTGTAAATAATGCTACACCAGGCTTTGGGCCGCACTCGTTTTTGTCGACAAGAACCCCTGAAATAGAATACCCGTAGTTTTAGCAGCCTGACCAGTATGGAATGTCTCTATTAATAAAAATAGTTACCAATAAGCTCGTAGACGCCGTGATAACTTCTGAACATAACAGGTCCGCCAGAGTCCACCTGAAATGTGACAAAAATGACATCAAGTGACTTGACTCCCTATATCCCTTATATTTGCCGAGAACAGAGTGACAAGTATTAATTACTAAATCAGTGTTACCTCACAAATCGGAGTATTTGAGCCAACAACTCCAATACATCCTTTATCCTGGGTCACGTAAGCCATGTCGGGCGTAAATTCTAGACATTCTTTCGGTCCCAAAACGGGAAGCCCGAGTTTTCTGGGCCTGCAACTGCTTGTAATTTTCCTTGTTTGAGCAGATGTAGGTGGACCTTCTTTTATATTTGTCTCTGCCCATCCAAATACCGTTGCAACTTGACCCTGATATCTTGTATCTTGATAAAAAACAGACAAATATTACAATATCATCATATGTAGCTTATAAGTCATGTGAAACCCAATAAGAAAATATTATTTGCAATGCGGTTGCGAAAACTCCATAGGGATTCTTAAGGATTAAAATGTCGGACTGAACACTTTTCTTTTCTGGTGTTCTAGTTGGCTACTCTTACAAGCATTCTAATGCTGGTTGCCTACACGTCGTCTCCAAAGGCTGATATGTACACATGCGCGAAAAGGTTGAGGGAGAAACAGGAAACTGAGTTTTGGAGGGAAAGCAAGGGTGGGAAAAAAATATAGTGCGGGTAATTTTTAACCTATTACGAATTCCGAGAATCTCGAAAAGTGAGAAACTCTCCAGTGTAAGCAAGTTTCCGTGATCGTATTTTATTGTAATCCAACTCTGCCATTTGTTTAATGCCTTGCGAAACAGCTTCAGAATCTTCACATAAATGCTCCGCAAATGATGCAAATTTCTGTTCTCTCAACATCGGTAACAATATTCTATTGTCTTTCCGTGGTTTTTGAATACCACTAAGAAATAATTTAAATTATTTGGTCTTGGAACCTGATGGTATAGTAAGTAATGCTGTTGTATTTTAAAAATATGTAAATTGCGTTTGAGTTATTTGCAAGAAAATATATCAAAACATCCCCAAACTTTGTTTGTTCATATACAGGTGAGTTTTCAATGTGGGCTCAGTCGTTAGCTCCGTAATAGCCCATGGTATCTAATACTTATATACAAACAGTATGCTCCTGACTCGAAAAATATTTTTATCTCTCCAGGATGATTTATAATTACATAGTAGCCCAAATACACTTTTTTGAAAGAAAAATTTCATGATCCCATATTTTCTCCCCCTTTACTTAGTTTTTCGATTTATTACATTTTATATATGGAAAACTCAAACTTATTTCTCAGGGCATTCTATTAAAAAATGTATATTCGGGTCCCCACGTAGTTATGAATCACCCCGTAGAGACAAAAATGTTTTCCAAGGTAGAAGCATACTATTGGCTGCAATTTTTGTAATTAACTTTTAGATATCAAGCGCAACATGATGTGCAATACCCGCAGTTATCGGCTGAGCACGCACTAAAAACTCACCCTGTAAATTGTTCGCCTTGTTGATTATTTTTGAAATAAAAAGTCCCAAATTCTGGTAAGGCAACTTCCCCATGAGCGCCCGCCGGCATTTTTTCCAGAAGGGGCCGATTGAACATCAGCAAGAGAAAAATTTTTATATATTGTGAAGATTTACAAACTTTTCAGAGAGTGATGGGTAATGGGTACATACGACGGATGTCTTTTAAGTTTTGCATATGGAAATAAAACAACACGTTATTGTTTTTCGAAGATTTCTCCACGAAGATTAATACACATCTGCATGCGCTCGAACCAATTTTCGAAGCACTTATTCCACTCGTTTGCTGGCAGAATCCAAAACGGCATTTTTGAATGCGTCAACTGCTTCTTCTGGTGACTGGAACCTTTGAACACGCAGTCTGTTTTTAATTTTCGGGAAAGTAAAGAAATCGTTAGGACTTAGATCGGGACTATATGGAGGATGGTCCAATAATTCCACGTTTTCTTCCGTTAAATACTGCCTTGTTTTTTGGGCTGGGCGCGAGCTTGCATTGCCTTGGTGGAGGATGATTCTTCTTTCGGGGTTGATTTTTCGAAGCTCGGTGACGACTTTTGGCAAACAAATGGTGGTATACCAATCCGCAGTAACATTTCTTTACACATTAAGAGGAATTGTTGCAAAATGATCCGCTTTTGACACAAATGTCGCGACCATCTGTTTCGAAACACTTCGAGAACGGATGACTTTTGTTGGCTTTTCTTCACCTTGGAACACCCAAACAGGCGACTGTCGTTTATTTTCTGGTTCATAACAGTAAATCCACGATTCATCACCATTAACAATGCTGTACACATTTTTCGAGTTTCCGGAATTGAAACGGTCAAGCGTTTTTTGACACCAATTAACCCTGGCTGCTTTCTGCTCTTCAGTCAACAGGTGAGGTATCCAACGAGAAACTAATTTTCTTACTCCTAATTCTTCATGTAATTTTTTTTGAATTGAGGTCTTTGAGATCTTCAAGGACGCCTCAATCTCGCGATATGTCACATGTTTATCTTCAATGATGAGTTTGCGCACAGCATCGACGTTTTCCTAGGCGACTGCCGTTTTTGGTGCACCCACCCTGGGATCGTCGCTAAGACTCACCCGTCCACGTTTGAATTCTCCATACCAACGGGAAATTGTCGACTGATGTGGCGCTTCGTTGCCGAAAACACACAGTAACTCAGCAAGGCATTCTTGTTGCGATAATTGTCTCTGAAAGTTGTAATAAATCATGGCGTGAAAATGTTCTCGATTGAGTTCCATTTTTCTAATGACTTGGTGACACTTAAAAATTCACTGTAGTGAGAACACTGCTCGTATTGTTGTGAAACTTTGAATTTAAGTTTACTAAAGAGTGAGGTTTAGATTCAGTACTGACATTCGATCCTCGCGGCCTACTATCTTTCTATATGCAAAACTTAAAAGACATCCCTCGTACATTGTGGGAGCATGGTCCATCCTGGGGACGCTAACGAATTTCCTGAACATTTTTAAGACGCAACGCAGTCAAATCGAAATATTAACCTTGCTCTTCTCCTTAACAATTTATATAACTTACTGGGAGATGCCAAACAAACGGGAGATATCCTTCTTTCGATTTTCACTAACGTGCTCAATTTTATCAAAGCTATGTCATGTGCTCTGTTTTCTGGACTGAAATCTGGATGCAAAATGATCTTCTCTACACTTGTGTTTGTAGAAGATATGTCTGGAACACATCTGTCGAATTGTCCTAGCGTCACTTTTATATCAAGAGGAGTTAATCTGAAAGATGAATAAAAGATAAATCATCGTTATATCGTAAACGTAAATTATATCCAAACATGCAATAATTTTATAAACGACATTTTTTGTTTTACGAGTTTCAAAATGAATAAATGAATGAATTGTACTATTGTGCATAATTCATGAAATAACTTGTTGATAACTGATTCGAATTGAATACTAATTTAATGTAACATTATTTTACAAGTTTCTATCAAAATGCATACAAAAACAATTATGTAAATATCATTTAGGTTTTTCGGGCTGTTGAGCCCTAAATGACATTAGAATTAGCCATGAAAGCCTTCATTCTTCAATTATGTAAATGCTAATAGTTTAGATTTAGAATAACAAGCTTCCGCTAAGTTGTACCGCGCGATTTTTAAATTGTACCTTAACAATAATGGCGTCAAGTAGTTGATCCCGCACGTCCTATGTAACGGTGCATCAATTAAAATAAGGGCCTATATTCGGCACAAGTTAGTTCCTTTTCGAAAAACATTGGCTACGAACATGTATTATAACAAAGGAATTAAGGCGGCTCCGACGCAGTTAGTTTCAAGCTATTTACAAGGGTTCAGCTGCTTCAAAACTGACACTCCATTTTTCAATACTTTTGAATGAAATTCATACAGTATGTTGAGAAGATAATTGCCCAGGGTGCTATAGTAGCACTTTTTGAAATTTTGTTTTTGCACAAGTTTTATAATGGGTTGAAGTGCGCACTTTTTCTGTTCAACTTCGCGATTTTTTTAAAAAGAAGAAAATTAAAAAGTGGCTCTATAGCACCCTGTGGGGTTTTGTTTTCAGCACTCTGTGAAAATTTCATCCAAAAATATCAAAAAATAAAGCGTCAATTTCGAAGCGCGCAAACCTCTACAAATCGTATTTTGGACGAATTTTGACTACTGTTTCGTGCTGCCAACCCAAGCGTTGCGGCGCAATGTACGGACTAAGAAAGGACGTATTCAGATAATTTGGTCGCCCTATTTCATATAATATCGCGTAGATAAGTCGATCTGCAAATAGGTACTCATAATCGCGATCGCTGATACTCCTCGATTTTAAAGCCGTTTTACTTCCCCCGTCATTGGCGAGGAAGTATTGTAATCGCGAAAAATTTCTAAAATGAGATGTTGTGTTTTTTAAGTCATATGACATCTACATCACGAAAAACTGTATCACTCATCAACTTGGAAATAACCGCTCGGATTTTTATGAAATTTCCACAAGGGGCTACTAGTATGCCAAAGCTTTGTAGTTTTAGTCCAGTGGCAACGGTGCTACAGGCAAAAAAGAAAAAGTAACAATTGCTGAAACTCCGTTTTTGACGTTACAGGGGCTCCTTATCATTGACAGAAAAAAATTGAACTGCTTAAAAAGTGGGGGTTGGGGGAAGGTGATTCTAAATGTTGCATCTTTGATATCAGTGAAACACGTTCTATTATGAAGAAGCTTGTGATCCCAGTGATTACAGGAAATTTAAGTAACGAAAATCCGACAAATAATGTGCTCCCGATTTGAAAAAATCGATACCTGCTCTATAGGTTTGACACCAAGAGCCAACAGATCTATCTGCAACTGCCGACAGTAGGGAAGAATGAATTCGGATATCACTCCAGTCAAGTATAGGGGAATTTAGCGTGGAACTTTAAAATTATCGATATGTCAAGGAAATATGTTTTTGAGAACGATAATTTGGTAGATTTTATACCTGCATTTTCATTTGAATTTCTTGATCCGTGAAATGTACCCATTTCGCCGTTACGTTCAATTTGTGTTCTGCAGTTTGTGATGTTTTTCTGGATATAAGCAGTACATAATTGCCTAAGGTGTTATCAGAGCGTTTTACAAAACTTTGTCTTTGCGCAAGAATTATGGTGGGTTGAAATGCTTACTATTTGTGCTCAACTTCTTGATATTTTAAAAAGATCCTAGTGGATAAAATCGAAAAAGTGGATCGTTAGCACCCTGTGGACTTTGTTTTTAGCACGCTGCAAGAGTTTCATTTGGAAATAATAAAAAATGAAACGTAAGCTGAGAAGTGCAATTCGGTTTTTGGGCGAAATTCGTCTACTGTTTCGTCCTGCCAGTCCAACCGACGCGACGGTGCGTTCCGACTAAGAAAAAATGTATTCAAATAATTTGATATCTTTCCTAAAATAAATTCAACAACTCAAATTACAATTCGTTTATTCATGTCAGTAAACACAATTATGTTTACAGGGTCATGTTGTAAATGGTAACAATTGAATAAGAGTCATAAAAATATCTTATGCCGTCAAAATAAGAGGAAACAGTTAGGTAGTTTTTGCAAAGCAATAAACAGGTAGGCTTATACCTGGATTAAGTACATTTCTTGTCTACTGTAATAAGTAGATGGAGGCGATGCTGCCAGAAATGGATGTGTGCGATCAACCACAACACTGAACTGCGGCGTCCAATGATTTTTGTATTGCCCTTTTTATTGCCTTACTAGAAAACTCTGTTGGGTATATGATGGAGTTTACTAGAACTTTACAGCTTGTTGTCTACCTTCTTCTACAAACTGCACCAAATCGAGACGCTGTCAACCTTATCCTCCGATGAAGGCGCGACAAAGTTCTGTGATTTGGTGACTTGTTCGTTCTGCAAAATCTCTGGTCTGAGTTTCTTTTCAAGATTCTTGCGTTTGAGTATTTGTTCCATCTTAGCGATAAGCGAGGTTGGAATAAGCTTAGAACGCAAATGTATTTAGACCACATATACAGGCCGTTGGGTATTGTGGCTCACTACAGCTGCAGCACATATTCCATGGTACACAATTTTGAACAGCTTTCGTAAAAACGGTATCCATTTAACTTGATAATGTTTTTTTAAATAATTTTTAATAATGTAAACTAACATTCTTACTATGCAACTTTTATATAGGTGAATTTTGGTATATCAACTTCTTTTACAAGCTTGACTCAATTTTGAAGTATTTTTTATTCAACTTTTAAAGGCAAATGTATCGGTAGTCAAATGAGAACAGCAATTAAATACACACAAATTGAAATAAGAAAGAAGAAGTTTTGGGCTTTTGGCCTAACTGAATTGTTTCAAGATTGTTTCATAACTACCACCTGCCGCTATTTTCTTTTCAATTGATAGAATTGATAGAGTTGATACTCTATTGACTCATCGTGGTTCTCAAGTAGGTCTTAATCAACTTTAGCTTCGAGAAACTTCTCTCAATAGAAACTGCAATGACTGAAACTGTAAGCATGATTTTGATTGATATGTAAGGATTTGGATACACTTCTTCCAAATTATTTTCTGAAATGTACTGGGTAAGCTGACTCGCGACATTGACACAGTCTGGTGAACTGGATGTTGAAAGATGGAATTCTTCATATACACTGTCACGAAAAATTAACCGGACAAACAAAATTTTGTTCAAATTAAATTTTAAATAACTTTTTAACCTTTGCATCAATTTCGTTAATTTTTTCGTCAAGTTGTAGGCAATTTCATTGTCATTTTTATCGACTGTTGATCTTGCAAGAAAATAGAGAATGTTTGTTGTTATACAGGGTGTAACTAAAAGGTGCATTTTGCCCTAAATTTCTGAACACCCTGTGGAAACATTGGATTACTGAATAATGTGTCTTCGTATGAGAATTTTAAGCCTCAACTTTTCTCAACAGTTCTTTTTTTGATTCATGCCAATATCTCAATTATTGAAGAATATATGCTGTTTTGAAGAAAATCATGCGAATCATAGCCATAAACAATGGCTTACCTACGACTATGACATAGAACTCATTTTTTCAGCTTTGTTATTGATTCTAGCTCTTTTTCGGTTAAAAATCTGGAAATATCTATTTTACTAAAATCGGCATTTCGGTAAAAGGTCTCGTTTCGGTAAAATACCGAAAAATAGGTAGATTCGGCAACACCGCTTTCTCGCGAGGCCTCTTTATGCGCGAGGCCTAGCGCCACCACTGATATTAAGGTGGTACAATTTGAAAATCCGACGTTCCCTTTTGTGGGTAAAAATTATCTCAATGACTGCTAAAATGGTATGTCATGCTGACCTAACTGAGTATGTTTGCTTTCTGTCTCTGTAACCATGACAAACCAAAGTTTCGTGCTCTTTATCTTCAGCAACTGACAATGTGGTCTAGTCTTGGGGACGGTCTTACATGGGCAGAAGGAAAGCAAACAAGTTGGTATGGTCTTCTGGAAAACTCAAAATATCGAGTTCAAGTATCTGAGAAACGCCACCTATAAGTGGATATACCATTCTCAACCCATACGTTGAAATGACGGAAACACCCCTACAACTTCTGTCGACCCTATCATTGTCGGTGACATCTACAGGGTGTTGCGTTCTTTGGGGCGTATTTACATACCGTTCAGAAACTTGTAAACATTTCATGACTTATTGAGATATTTGGGAAGAACTAAAATTTGGCCAAATTGTTTTTATCTTTTACGATTTTATTTTGAAAAATATCAAAAAACCATCATCAACTTTGTTTTTTTATATAGTACGAGAAAAAAGTACACCTTGTATCTAATAAAATTTTTGTATAAGAATTCAACGATGTACCGCATGTTACATTTATTTTTTTGGTTACAGGAAAATGCGTTTTTTGTTTCTTTTTATTTTATTTCAAATAGGTGTTGGAAACAAATGCTTGACTTTACGTAAGTACCTGTCACCGAGGATTGTTATTATTGTGTAATGTTAATATTGCTTTATTATCGACAAAGATGCCAGTTGCCCATTTTAGCAATGCAGAAAACATACTTTCGTGCTACATTTGGTGCTATAAAAAATACTGCAGAAATGTATACTGATAAATTTCCCGAAAGAAGGCAGCCAAGTTAGTTTCTTAAGGTGCGTTTACATATGAGCCCGCACGCACTGAGCATACGCGCACGCATTCGTTCGCATGCGGGGAGAGTGTTTAAACTGAAATTCAATTCTCAACGCATGGGCTGATCCAGTCGTTCACGTACGAGGTTAACATGGAGAATAGACATAATATAGCCGCGGCAACATTTATTATACTGTATACTTTAATTAAACCAGAAGAAAATCGGAAACGAAGGGAATTAGTATTAAACAGTATGTATGATCAATTTAGAAATTTTACAAGAATGACCCAGACTGACTTTGAATACCTGCTTACGTTGGTAATACCAACTATAATGAAAATTGATACACAGTTTCGAAAATGTATTTCACTAAGGAAACGTTTAGCCATAACCTTGTGTTTTTTGGCAACTGGAGACACCTACAGCAGCTTGCAGTATCTTTTCAGAGTGTCAAAATCTTCATTTTGCTTTTTTTCGAGACGAAATGATCACATCAGACTTTTATTTTTTTTATGTGCTTTGTAACAGTATAAATTTTCAATACTATAATTGACTATTAGTCGTTTCCATGCACCATCTTCTTTTCGATTTTGAATAATACTCTTCGTGGCGAACGTCCCACAGTACCGATAATTCACAAACTTTTGCAAGAGCTTTAGAACTTTAGTATTATTCCATTTCAACAATTAACTGGACTAAATACAATCAACTCTTTAATCCTGTCGTTTCCGTCCACACTGAGCGCTCGCGAACCCATTAATTCCTTTGAGCAAATGCTTGAGGCCGACAACAGGCGGATCGCGTTCGCTGTTGCGCGCGCACATGAAGATACAGGATGAGCGTGAGCGCATAGCCGTTTACACTTGAGTATTCGCGGTGGATCAGTGCGTGCGTGCTAAGATCTAAACGCACCTTTAGAGTTGTCTCGAAACTTAAATGGTTCATTCAAGAAGCCTGTTACCTCTCGAAAAATGGAATTTTTAGAGGAATAGTGTTTTACAAGCAGTTGCTGAGAACTCTGAGATATCAAATAGGCAAATTGAGAAATATGTATGAGTAGCCATATCCACAGCCCAATTTATTTTGCGTAAAAATATGGGGTTGTTCAAAATGGACGCAGGAAAGTAAACGCATATTAAAACAAGAAAGATTGATATTCAAATCAAGTTGGGTACTTTATTTTGAAGGTTCATTTATACCATTTATGTATGAAAAATAATATCGCTCAAATATTCACCACGACTGGATTTACAGACGTCCACGCGGTGGTCGAAATTTTCAATGACATTTTGCAACTTGGTCGGTTCTATGGCATTTATCTCGGCAATGATGTTGTTTTTGAGTTCTTGGAGGGTGGCTGGTTTGTTGACGTAGACTTTGCTTTTCAAATATCCCCATAAAAAGAAGTCCAAGCGAGTCAAATCGCACCTTAGTGGCCATGGCACATTTCCTCTGCGCGAAATCACGCGATCACCGAAGAAGGACTGCAATCGATGGATATTGACGTTGGTTGTGTGGCATGTTGCACCGTCTTGTTGGAAATAAACATCGTCCATATCCATTCCTTCAAGTTGCGGCAAAAAATAGTCCTCTACCATCACGTGAGATCGCTCAGAATTGACGGTAACGGCGTCCCATTTTCGAAAAAGTAAGGTCCGATGATGCCTTTTGACCACAATGCACACCACACAGTCACTTTTTGAGGATGCATCGGCTGCTCTTGATTCTCACGGGGATTTTCGTTCGACCAGATGCGGCAGTTTTGCTTGTTTACCGTCACATTCAAAGTGAAATGCGCTTCGTCGCTGAACATGATTTTTGATGAAAAATTGGCATCAATTTGGCGGTGTTCAAGGAGCCAATCTGAGAACGTTCGGCGCGAATAATGGTCGGCCCGACGCAGCTCTTGCGTCAATTGGATCTTGTAGGCGTGTACATTCAAAACCTTGTAGAGAATGCGGAGCAAACTGGTTCTCAAAATGCCCAATTCTTGGGATCGACGCGTTGTTGATTATTTTGGATCGTCTCTCACACTCTCCTTCACAACAGCAATATTTTCCGGTGTGCGAACGCTCCTTGGCCGGCCAGAGCCTGGCAGATTTGCCACATAACCTGTTGCCTCGAATTTACGCACCAGACGACCGATGGTTGTTTCGTTTGGGCGGTTGTTGCGACCGAAATGTTCACGAAGCGCGTGAAACGTGTTTTTGCACCATTTTTGTAGTGCTCTTGAATAACTTTAATGCTGTCTTCAATCGAATACGACTCCATAGCGATCAATGGTAAACATTCAACTAACAAAATGACATGTCGATGACAGAAAACAAAGATGGCGTCTATGTCAAATTGACGTTTACTTTCCTGCGTCCCTATTGGACAACCTTAGATAATATAAATTCAGGATTTTCCAATGACTTGGTTCAGGGGATAGCGAACGGAGCCAGCAATCTTTTGAGTGGTACTCACGAACGTGTGGAGAAGATGTTAATTTTCCTTTAAAAATAATATGGTTCGACGAGAGTATGGTCACTAACAATGGTAGATTTAATCGCCGCAACACTCATTACTGGAATTAAGAAAATCTGCGGACTAAAAAAAATCCAGACTTCAAGAACATTTTGGGCTTAATATGTGCTGTGAAATTTGAGGAACAAAAATATGACCTAATGGTCCATTTACGAGTATTTACCACAACTTATTAACTGCAGAACTGCACCTTCACTTATTGCAACATGATCTAGAAGACAGCCTGGATAATTTACCTTTGGCACAGGTTAATAGCTATTAGTTTCATCAATACGGTGAAAATAACTCTAGGGAAGTTCGAGAGTATATTTCTCAGCGATTTCTAGTGAACCTACAGTGAAGTGTCCTGCCCAGATCATATTTATGTTTAGAAAATAATGGCAACATATATGAACAGGTATTGTGAATCAAATAAAAAATAATGTTAAAAATGTATTCGAGTTCTGAATATCACCAGATTAGATACACCATTTTATAAAATTTTACCCTATCCTATAGTTATGTAATATGCATCTATCAGTAATCGCATAATTATAAATCAAGCATTTGTCCGCAATGCCTACCTAAATAAAATGAAAAAAAATACATTTTTCTTTATAGCTAAAAAACAAATGTAATATGTGATACATCGTTGAGTTCGTAGAGAAAGATACAGGGTGTTCTGTAAGACATGAAATTTTCCCAATTTTCAGCTTTTTTTCCAAATTTAACCTAAGCTGTATCTCTCAAGGGTATTAATATCCCCATGCATATGATCCTTATCTTGGACACCCTGTACAAACATATACATAGTACAGACGATGTGTAGCTAGAAATCAGAACATTTCGGCGTAGTGAGGGTGACGCCATCGTTGGCATACTACTTGTACGTTGCGGATCACAAGTACTGGCACACACCATGGTATTTCATTTTCACATGCTTGATAATATTTTGCTTATTTCTTCCGATTAAGAAAAAACCATGTTAGTTCAAAATCTTTAGATCCGGAATAGCCTGTGTCCTAAAAAATCTTTTCCAAGTTCTATCACAGCACGAGCTTATGACGCTCAAGTTTTACTCAGGTTTATTCATATTTATAGAATACTTCTGCGTGAAAATATATTTTTTGCTTAAATACCTTTGTCAGAAATACAAAAATTCTCTCGACTTTACATATATTATACATTGAATGAGCGATGGTACAACCTAAAGCTTGCTGTAAATAACGAGATATTCCGAAAAATGGACTTAGATAGCTCTGTATTACTTAGACGAGATATACTAGTTATATTAATGAAGATTAAAGACTCATCGGTAAGTGAGAGGAACGTGTAACCAAATCTTCTTTCAACCCCTTTTTCGGAGATATCAATTTACTTACTGTGAAATTCTGAAACAAGTTCTCTCAACTAGCTATATTTTTATGATACTTGTTGAAAAAGTAAATATTATGCATGACGTTTTTACCCAAGTAAATTGCTGGCACTAGTTATCACGTATCTATCATTAATCAATGTGGCAGGCACAGCTCTTTCATGCTCGCCTTGTATCTGTATCAGAGCCGCCCAAGGAAATTCATGCACTCTCATGAACTCCCCTCCAATCAGTTTTGCTTCCCTGTTTGGTACGCCACATCCTGTATGAAAAAGAAATATACACATTTGAATGTTATGCTTGTTGCTTAGACAAAATAAAGCATGTACAATTTGCCTGATTTCTGTTAATATATGAATGCTTAATACGACGATTGACAAATATGGTGAATGTGCACAAGCTAATCACTAATAGCATACCCGCTTGAAAATATGGTGGAGGTGCAAGAAACTCGATAACATGATGTTTGCATATACAGGGTGTTCCATAATTATTGCGACAAAATGATAGGGGTTGTAGAGGGCATCAAAATGAACAATTTTTCCTTATAAACCCCTGTTCGGAAATATGCCGTTTGGGCTGCAGCAAAAAAAAAAGATCAGTTTCTTGAAACAGCTTACCTACAGTAATTGCTCAAAGTGTCCTCCATCTTGCTCAATACACAGCTATGCACGATTGTTCAATGATCGGCGAACTCTGTGGCATACCCCCGGTATGTCCTGAACATGTGCGGACGCGGCCATCACTCTTCCCAGTAGCTCTTGTTGGTTGGGAACAGGAGTTTCGTACACTAAAGCTTTCAGATAGCTCCAGATAAAATAATCCAGTGTGGTCAGGTCAAGTGACCGCGCAGGCCAAGGCACAGGGCCACCTCGGCCTATCCACCTATTTGGAAATTTGTCGTCCAAATACTGCCGCACTTGTAAAGAAAAGTGGGCTGGACCGCCATGGTGTTGAAACCACATGTTGGCTCTTATATTCAGTGGCACATTTTGTAATAGTTCCGGTAGCACATGCTGTAAGGATCGACCATAAGCATGCCCATCCAAACGTGGTGGAAGCAGATATGGCCCGATGATATGCTCGTCCACAATGCCGCACCAGATGTTAATTGAAAACTGATGTTGGTCTCTATGGATGGCTATGGCATGAGGGTTTTCTTCATCCCAAATGTGACTGTTATGGCTATTAAAATAACCGTCCTTTGTAAAACAGGACTCGTCAGTGAACAAAACGTAGCGACCAAAGTTTGGTTGCCTCAACTCCTGCTGCAGCCACCAACGGCAAAAACGTCGACGCGGCAGATAGTCTGCTGGACCCATGGCTTGGACTTTTAAAAGGTGATACGGGTGTACGATAACAAAAATGTAAACACAGCAGGCTTTTTTTACAAACCGGTGAGACCATGAAATGTGCTAGACGAACATTTTGCAGCTGGTGAATTTTTTGTTTCTCCTATGAGCTCTTAAGGTAAAATTAACTGTAGTGCTCAAACGGCATATTTACGAACAGGGGTTTATGAGGCAAAATTGCATATTTTTATGCCCTCTACAACCCCTATCATTTTGTCGCAATAATTATGGAACACCCTGTATAGCGAGTGTGCCAACGCCACAGGGTGTTATATTGGTAAGAGGACTTGAAACTCTTGATTTTTCGAAAACAAGAGTTTCAAGAGAAACTAGCAGACCCTCTATCGATGATCGCTTAACGACATCGATAGAATGTGCGAGGTAAAGGGAACCAACCCGGCGTTCCCAGAGACTGAAACACATGAGGAGACGTTGTAGCAGACCGCAGGTCACGCACAACACATGGCCTACCGAGACGCTGATGAGTCGGGCCACGCGGAGGTTTAGGGTTTAGTGGGTATTAGGTGATCTCCTCAAGACCCTGGAGCCCCACACACGTCGTAGCTCGTGCTATGGTATGGTGCGTAAATGCATTCCCCCCTCGTTAAAAAAAAAAAAAAAAAAAAAAAAAAAAAAAAAAAAAAAAAATAAAAAAAAAAAAAAAAAAAAAAAAACAGGGTGTCCCATGAACTATGTCGATCGTGTATTCGAAAAGTTGACGTTCGATAATGGACCAGTTTAGCATTTTTTGTTAATAGCTCAAATGAAAGTTTAGGAAAAATGAAACAAGATGGTGAAAAAAAATTATTAATTTATCTGTAAAAACAAAAAAGTTACAGCCTATCAAAGTTGCGCCCCGCGAGAATAATTTTATTATTCGTTACGCGTGACGTCACACTTTAGTATCCAGTTGCAACGCCCGCGGTCGATTCCTGGGCCAGAGCCGACTCGATCTCCTGAACACATGCATAAACACATACAGCGGGACACATGGTTGGCTAAAAGTCTTCCGCCACAATTTGTTTAATTAATTGACTGCATACACGATCGTTTATGAGCGAAATAAGAAAAAAAGGTTGTTATAAATACTGTACCGTTCCAAAATGTACGAGCTCAATAATTACAACCCCTAATAAACATTTTTTCTTACGCAGTACTCAATAGTTATCAACTGGAAACCACGTGTCCGAGCACACAGGTGTGTCTTATGAATTGTCTATAAACTAGTGACTAAACGCACAGACGCTGTCGAACACTTACGCGACGAGACGCTTGGCACCAGAGAAGTGTGACGTCAGTCGCGAACGAACTTCAGCAATGATTTCGCGCTATAATGCGTCAAATTTAAGTATCAATTTTTCTGTCATTTATTGGCCAATTTTAATAATTCTTTCACTGGCTGAATATTTTTAGTCTACATTTTGCTGGTATAATAATAATAATAATATTTATTTACTCTAAAATACAGGTAACATGAAACGAGTGAATAAATAAATATAATATACTAAGTGACATATAAAACTGAACACCCAGTTTAAATGGTTTTATTTTAATAAAAGTTGGTGAATGTATTTATCTTACTGTAAATAACAAGTGAACAAATTTTCAGCCTTACCAGTTGGACATTCCGGTTTTTATACTGCTTTTTTTAATTCACTAACGCTCTAAAAATGAATATTTCAGCCGCAGTAAAGAATCAACGTTGGCGGATTTTGGTTCTTGACATCCTTTACGATCGGTTAGGATGTTTAGAGTACGGAGACCTGTACCATTTCGTCACTTAGTGAGTTTGATAGGGGCCGTATAGTGGGACTTCGGGAAGGTGGACTTTCTTTTCGGGCAATTGCAGTTAGAGGGCAAAGAAGTGTAGACACTGTGGTTAGGTGTTGTCAGGCATGGCTTCGAGAAGGCCGCACGCAAAGAGCAAGGGGCACTGGACGCCGCCGTAGAACAACAGACCGTGAAGATCGCCGCCTAAGATTATTGGCCTTAAGGGACCGTTTCTCCACTACCAGGTCCATTGCAAATGAATGGTTTGCAGAACACGGAAGACCTATTGGCATGCGAAGTGTTTACCGACGAATGAGAAGTTTTGGCTTGTTTTCATACCGGCCACACTGGGTCCTCCCTTTAACTCGAGAACACCGACGTAATCGCCTTGAGTGGTGCAGACAACGGTCACTCTGGGATCAGGAATGGAACAGTATTGTCTTTAGTGACGAGTCTCGATTTTGTTTAGGCATGCACGATGGTCGTGCCAGGGTTAGAAGGCGACGTGGTGAAAGGAGGAATCCACAGTTTTTTGTTGAAAGACATGTTCATCACACTGTTGGAGTTATGGTTTGGGGTGCTATAGCTTATGGTTCCAGGTCACCTTTAAACTTCATCAGAGGTAACATGAATGGCAGCGTTATATCCACGAAGTTCTAGAACCCCATATTTTACCCTATCTTAACACCCTGGCAGATCCAACTTTCCAACAAGATAATGCCCGACCACATGTCACAATAGACTTCCTTCAACATAATGATGTCACATTGTTACCATGGCCACCAAGATCTCCCGACTTATCCCCAATTGAGCACGTGTGGGATATGATGGGTAGGAGATTGCTCAATTTGCAACGTCCTCCTCAGACTCTAGAAGCACTTCGAGAGGAGTTGGTGGTTGCCTGGAATGAGATACCACAGGAGGACATTGACCACCTGATCAGAAGCATGCCTAGGCGCGTTGGAGAATGCGTAGCACATCAGGGTGCATCCACACATTATTAAAGGTCAAAGGGCTTTAAAGCAGTGAAATCATTTTGAAATTTTTATCATTTACTTATTATGCTTCATTGAGTACTTATACAAAATTTTATTAAAATAAAACCATTTAAACTGGGTGTTCGGATTTATATGTCACTTAGTATATATCCATAGGAGGACAACGCCTGTGCATGGATCATATGTATGTTGAATTGCAAAAGATTAAAAAAAAATAGAGAGAAACAAATTATTGGTAAGAATGATAGAGCATTTATTGTGTAATATTTGAGATTATTCTATTAATTTGATTTCTCCTAATCGTGTTAACAATTTTTTTTTTGAAATCTAATATATTGCGTAATTATTTTAAATTATTTGTTAAATGTTCGTATAATTTTGGAGCTAAATACAGGTGATATCGTTTCATTAAAGATTTGTTTGGTTTAGGAACATTTTTTGCGCGTAATTTATGTCTGGTGTTATGACATGTTCAATTATGTCGCTTTCACTAATAATTTTGTGATAATGAAACATTGATTTTAAAATTGTTCTTTGAAGCACATCTAAATCATTAAGGTGTGTCGTGCATGCAGCACCCTATACTACTATACCATATGTTATGTGCGGCTCAACTAAAACTTGACATATTATTCGTAGATAATATTCACTTAATATACCGGTTAGAAATTTTATCTTATATGCTATGAATCTAATTTTTTTAGTATGTAAGAAATATGTACATCCCACCTCAAGTGAGGATCTAGATAAATTCCAAAATATTATGTATCATTAAGTCTATTGATTTTTAGATTTTTATCATTTACCTGAAAGCGAAGGTGGTTAGCTTTTGGTAGATGATTAGATCGTGATGAAAATGGTAAAAAATGAGTTTTAGTAAAGTTAATTGTTAAATTTCGGTTATTAAACCACTAAATAATTTTACTGATTGCAGTCTATTTGATAAATAATTTTCGATTCAATTATACATCTTTCGACGAAAACCTATTCTTTCTAAGATTTCCAAAAGTATATTGTGGTTAACTGTGTCAAACGGTTTTTGTCAATCCACAAATACGCATATCGATGATACATTTCCATCCATATTTTAGGTAATTTCATCTACTATACTTAATACCCCATCTGTTGTAGATTTGCCCGCTATAAAACTATATTGATTAGAATTTAAAATTTGAAATTTATTAAGAAAATTAATCATTTTATTAAGGAGTAATTTCTAAAAAACTTTAGCTAAATTTGATGAAACAGGCCGATAGTTAATGACATCCGTATTATCATTATCTTTATAGATAGGTATGATGATTGCTGTCTTGAAAGCTGATGGAAATACTCCAGATTGAAAGGATTTGTTAATGATATAAGCAAGTGGTTCTGTTAATTTTTTGGCCAGTATCTGAATATCACGAAACTTCTCCATTACTAAAATTGTGGGTTATTGTACCGGGTGCGGCAGCATGACTTCCTTTTTTAAAATGAGCGCCATTCGATCGGTTGATGTAGCGGAGCGCTAGTGGTTTCGTTCAAGCTGCGGGACTATAAAATTTTGTCCAGAAATAGTTCAGTCATGTGTTGAGGTGGATATTTTGTGATAGCAACCCAGCGCACCTTTCGGTATTCCGAGATAAAAGTTATTGCTTTGACCGCTGCCCCGAACCTGAGATCAATTGCTATGTGGGTTACTATGTTCAGGCAAACTGCAAGTGCGACAAGACGAAGAACTGGAGTTTATCGGCCCATTAGATCACCTGAAATTTAGAGTGAAGGCTTCAATTTTGCGATCCATGGGCGCGCAAACATGCGTCTGCCCATGGACTTTACCGATCGTTCTTTGTGGATAATTCTTCATTTTCATCCTTATAAGATGGCAATTGTGCAGGAACTTTCTGAACGTGACTTCGATTCTCGGATAAACACGTGTGAGCGTCTTCTCGAAGTCGTTCCTGAGGACGCTGTTGTTTTTCTTTTAGTGATGAAGCCCGTTTTCATTTGTGTGGATCCGTCAACAAACAAAACATGCGCTGCTGGGCTGACACCAATCGTCGAGAATTGCATTAAAGGTTTGTGCATTCGCCTAAAGTCATCGTGTGCTGCGCAATTTTCTCAACTGGAATTATTGATCTCTGGCTCTTTGCGAAAACTGAATTTGCAGTGACAGTGAATTCGGACTGGTATGTAAACATGTTACAGACATTTTTTTCCCACGGCTAGATGAGTTGAACTTAGGGGACATTCGGTTTCAACAAGACGATGAAAACGGCACACACTTCAAGAGCATCGATGGCTGTTTTGAGGGAACACTTTCCAGAGCACCTTTTGTCAATTAGGGGCGATTAGGTCTGGTCGGCACGCTTTCGCGATTTGGTCCCTTGTGAGTTTTTTCTATGGATTCTTTTAGAAATCTGGTCTTTATATGAACCGTCCAAGGACCCTACATGACTCAGGAAGAAATTGCCAACATAAGCCTGTTATGCTAGCAAAGGTCATGACAAACGTCCGAAATCGACAACTAAGGTATATGGACAATGGGGAACCTCGTCTATCTGATTTGATATTCAAAAATATGTAAAACACAACTTTAAGCATGTGCTTAGATATAGAAATCAAATAAAAATGTTCTGATTTATATAAAGGGTTTTGTTAACTTTGAAAAAAAGGAAGTTAGGCTGCCGCGCCCTGTATAATTAAAGGAAGCAGTTGGGATAATACTCCGGTTGTACTGGAAGCATAAACCAACCACCAACTTGCTTTTTTTAAGAATCCTGTTAATTTTTTTATTTTTGTAGTCGCGAGATTCTAACCACTTTTGGGATATTTCAAGTTTTACGTAAAAGGTCACGAATTCTACCCGACAAGTATTTAATAAATTTCGCTGTTTCCTAACAGAAGCGTAGACTTTCTTTATTTTTGGATACTTGATAATATAGGTTAATCTAAAGATTATTGAAAATCATTTTGTATGAAATCAAACGTTTTTTGGAACAAGACATTTGATCTTATAATTTTATCGTATTAAGAACTGAAAATGAGGATACTCCCGCAAATCAGTAACATAACTTCCTAAATCATTGGAAATTTGTTTTTTTTTTGTCGCTAGAATGTTCTACACTGCTTTTAATATCAGCTAGTTTGCGAGATTAGCTGAATTTCCCCAAAATTTAACCATGATTTCCATACTGTATCTATAGATAAATATAAATCATTATTTGTAATAACATGATTTCAAAATACCAACTCTGGCAGCCGCGCTAAGAACATTTGTTAAGCATACGTGGTTATCGACCATTGAAAACGTGCGTTGGGTCGGAATAATGAATAAAGATCCACGTTCTCAAGTCTTTAGCATCAGTAACTAGACTTAAATTCTTGACCACTTACGACATTTGCAGGGAGCAAATAGTATATCTAAGAAGCCACGAGAGTTCTCTGGTGTGGATGTTATTTCTGAGGCGATCTGAAATGAATGATGAACACATATTAATTATTTCTGGTAATAAATGGCACCTGGTGCTGCCTTCATTTCAAGATATGTAGGGAGCCCTGCTTTGCCATTCGGAAAAATTGAAAGAAGGGGGGGTTACTCCGAGATTTTTTAAAGCTCCGTTTGATTCTATCACTGAGAAAAAATAATTAAACTAATTGAAATTCTAATTTAGCCAATTGAAGAATTTAATTAACTATGTGATAGCTAACAAGTTTAGTTGGTTTAATGAAACTCCGATTTCTAAAACAGTTTACTTGAGTCTATCTATCTTAATTAAAGCCAAAATGCAGCCGTTCAATTAAATTTATTAAACCGTTTACTTAGATTGAGTACACCAATTTCCTTAAAACTATTGAACTATTAAAATGTGTCTACCTGCTCGAAGTAATTTGTAGTTTATATAATTGACTTATTCCTAGACTTGTTAGTGAGGGCTGATGGAAGATTAATAAAGTTGAAGTTAAAGTTAAAACAATTTAATTATATTCATTAAATTTGTTTAGATAAAAGTATTTGCCTAGTCTTAATTAATCATTTTATTTACATCAATACTACGTTAAGCACATGTTTGCTATAAATGCTGTTCTTTGTTTTAAAGATGGCAACATAAATTAAGTTTCGAAGTTCTTCCCATTCCGTCACGTCAGCGGTGATCACCATAATTCACAGTTACTACACCAACAAAGGCATCATTCGAATATGAAGCATGTCACGGAAATCACAAATGAAACTGAGGAGCTCGAAGCTAGTCACTACCGCCTCTGCACCTGTCGCATACTCCCGATCATTCACGAGCGATGGGCCGAGTTCTGCCGAGTATGCGATTCAAATAAATAGTTTAACTGTCGTCATTAAAATATTCAGTTGGTTAAAACGTACATTTTCTACATAAATTAAATTACCTAAATTAAATGAACAGTTTAATGAAATAGATCGTTTGCTATTTTCAAGCAAATTAGCTTAATGGTATATTACTTTCAATTCAACTGGTTCCAGAAAATTTAGTTTAATTAACATTAATAATTCACTTATTTAGAGTGATTAAAAAAGTATTACGGGTAATGAAAATTTTCCAGAACTAATTGACCACGTTTTGTCATTGTGGGCATTTGAAGCCCACCATCAAGCCGGGGCCCTGGGCATAAGTCCCATGTGTCCATAGACGTAACTACATTTTTGAAAGTTTTCTGGACTTAATATGTGGGACGTACTGAATAACTCAAATACCATTTTCAATAGAAAAAAGTGAAAACTCACAGTTATTGGTGCCAGCAAGATTATTCCACAAAGTAAGTGTAACACGCACATGATGGTTCAGCAGCAGATACTGAAATGATGGTATCGTGTAGTGACATCATGTTGGTCTTTATAACGGTAGGACAGGATTTTGATGCTGGTCATTATGTATGTGTACTCTTTCTTGTGCAGGTTCATTAATTCTTGTATGTTTACGGATGTGTAGCCGTATCCCTACTTTTACTCTCCTTCAGTACCGTCTATTGTCGAAACAGTTCAAAATCCTTGCGCGTTGCTTGGGCAAACTAAATTTGTAGACCACGAATATGATGGAAAAAATTCCACTTTCAACACTTTTTCCAAACTTTCATTTAGCTTGACTTGTTAGCATTTTGGTATGTGTGGGTCCAATCTTGAATCTGAATTTTGAGCTGAAAAAAATACAACAATAATGATAATGTTTAGAATATAGAATGATCGTTGACTCAAAGTTTTATTTAATCTGTGTACAGTTGCTGATGAGTTTTTGAATTGTGTTGAATAATTAAGACCCATACACTGTAATAAATTTGTATGCTTAGTTAAATACGTGGTTGTATTGTAGAAATAAATTTGCCTGCAGTCCAAAATTTGTGATTCACTATAAATACTTTCCGTTGGATATAATTTACTTTTGCTAAACATAATCTTTAATACCGACTTCTGAGAAATTTCATTGTTTTTATAATAATTATTTTTTGACTCCACGCCATGCCAAGAATCCATACGAAATAAGTCGGTAGATAAGTGCGTCATATATAGATGTCTAGATATTTCACAATTGAGAAACTAATGAAATATTTATTTTTGGAACAAGGTTTCTTAATTTTTTGACTAAGTTTCCAACATGTACGAGTATATTTCATTTTAAATTAATAACTATAATTGTCCCCAAGTATTTGATATTATTCACTGATTGCATATATTTGTAGCAATCTGTATTTGCAATTTATTATAGGTAGAAGAAGATCTCTTATCGGATCTCTTTGGAAATCCAATTCGATTTTATTCTTTAACGTAGTATGTCCCTGGAGGAGTATTCTTAATACTTTTCGTCTGATTAATTCATGGTATGTATAGAGATGACTGAAAAACAATGTTATCTGGTTCTTTTTTGTAAAAAAATGCATTTTTATGCATTTTTTCTTCAATCGTAACTTGTTAACAAATAATAATACAGCTCTAAAAGAAAGAAGCGGCTAATTACTTGTTTTCTTGTCAGTTTCTCTCTTAAAAAAATCTTTGATTTTCTTGAAAACTCAATTTGCTGCAAAACTGATAGCATATAATCCCTATCATTATCTGAATACATGCAGAGCTGTTTCGTGCTTTTTTAATACTCCTCAACGTGGTCTAGGTTTGGGTCTCTGTCTTGGTTGGCTGTCAGAGGGACGAAAACAGATTATGTTTATTTTTGTTCAATGATAAGTACGTTAGACCACGTAGACCACATCTACTAGATAGCGAGAATCGTCACCATCTAGTGGTCACGTGGTCACTGGGCCTCCAGTTCGCGGACTAAGATCTATGGATTCCCAATCGATTCTAGGGTGTCGTATTAGGATAGATAGTATTTAATCCAGAATAGGTATTTCACAAGATGTATTATTATTAGACAGGCATAATATGATTAGTTTTTATCACAGACGAAAAATGTACTCCTTAATATTTTTGATCAAGGTTATTCACAACCAGTATGATTGTCCATAAACTCTCAGTCGCATGTATTGTCTAACAAGAAAAATTCTAACATTTGGTTTACCAACCCCCGGGACCAACGTACTTCGGTATTCTCCCTTATGTTCCATGTGCTACTGTCTGAACAATATATAAAACAGAATTTATATATTCGATACAAGGTGAGACTCATGTCGTTGCTCTTGATATCACGAAAGCGTTCCATCAGCTGCGGCATGTTACCCTCTTATGCAAATTTCCATCCTATCGCCTCCCCGGGAAGCTTTGCGGAAGGGTGGCTGACTTCCTCTCTGGCCGCAAGATATCCAGCGTAATTGACGGGCTTCACTCCTCATCCCACAACGTCAACGTGAGTGTTCCCCAGGGATCGATCTTGGTTTCGACATCTTAATATCAACGACATTCTTTCCTGTACAGTCAATCCAACCCACGGCCTTACTGATGATCCAGCACTCTACATGTAGGAATTCAGGGTGACAAGCCGAACTCTGCTGGTGAGCTGGAGAAAAGAAGACAGCAACGACTTCCTCTCTGACGAGATACCCGGAGGTTATCACTGCTTGGGGACGCAACAAACTGGTACAGTGTACTACTTCCAAAACACAGTACTGTACTTTAACGAACTAGAAGCGACCTAACCCTCATCCAGTATCGATTGATGGCCGAGTTCTATCAACGAGCCGTTCAATTCGGCTGGTCGGAGTCCAGATCACCGAGGACTTGACCTCGCACGAACACATTTGGTCAATGGCGGCAGCTGCTGGAAAAAAGCTAGCCTATTTATTTAGGGCTAAGAAGGACTGTCATCCACATGACCTCCTCATTCTATGCAAGGCCGTCGGCGATCTTGCTCTCTTCTACTGCCACGCTAACGGGCTTTTCTCCTCAGAGCTCTTCTCCATCATGCCGCCGCACGATATGTCTAACTTCGTAGTTACTTTGTCCTTAGGGCAGTGGCGTAGCTAGAAGTCATGGGGCCCCGGAGCAAATATTTTTTGGGGGCCCTCATGAGTATGTTTAACAATAAAAAATATCATGTTATAATAAAAAAATTGTTTATTGTCATAAAAACAAAAAGTAACACAAATTAAAATAATGGAATAACAAAAGTAAAAAATTAAACAATAATAAAATTAAAAATCCATTTTTCTTGCTTTTCTATTTGCAAATTGGTTGATAATATCATTTGTATCAAGGTTTTGGGCTTCTTCATTCTCTATAGAGAGGAAAACAAGATCGCTTAATCTAATCTGGCCTATAGTAGACCTAAGATAGTTTTAGCTTGTTAAATGATTTCAATAGTTGCAGTAGTTGCAGGCAACGTAAAAATAAAAGGAACATTAAGTAAACTTCACTTAAGTCGCTTTCAAGTACTCCATACTTACTTAAAATTATATTGAAATATTCCTTAATTGATAGATCATTCTTAAGGTCTGTTTTACAAACATTTAACAAATTGGTATACTGAAATATTAAATCAAATATTTCAGGATATTTGTTATAAATGGCTGTACATTTATTTTTAATGGATGTTTCATCGCAACTTAATATAAATTTTGGAAGAAGTAAATCAAACAATTTATTAATTTTTTTCATGCTCCTAAATCTATTAGAAATCTGTGTCAGAACCCGGTCCATAACAACATTAAAAACATTTATTTTAAATAAAATTTGAGTATTATTAAATCTGTAATCGCTTAAGAGTTCGTCAAAGTGTTTTTTAACTTTAGGTTGACATTTTTGCCTGAATTCCGGTTGAATATTCCATTTGTTAGCCAGTTCCGTAGCTTCAATCATTAAAATTTCATCAGAAGATCTTAATTCAGTAAGGTTCTTTTCTACTTGTTCTAAAACAGTCACAGATTCACTTAAATCAATATTTTTCTTTTGAAAGACCTTTGCGGCGAAATTAACCTGGGTAAAGATGTTATACAACATTGTTGAAATAAATACAAATTTAAAGCAACACATTTGTTTTTTAATGGAAGAAGCTTCTTCTCTTTCTTCTTTTTTCTAAGACTGTAACTCTATTTCTGTTAAAGATTTAATAATATCAAGATAACGAAGTTTGACAGCACTAATGGACAATATCCTTCCTGACCAACGAGTTGGATTTAATGTTTTTAAAGTTTTTTTGGATTCACTGGTAAAAGAAGCTAAAAGATCCCATCTATTAATACTTAAACCAAAAAAAGAATATATATTTTGCAAAGTGGCAAAATATTGCGAGACCTCTTTACAACAATTTACTGCATCATTTATTACTAAATTTAAGTTGTGACTTGCACAATGTACATATTCGGCATTTTGTTGAACTCTTTTTATTTGAGCATTTACTCCATTATAAGCCCCACTCATTACACTGGCTCCATCGTAGCCTTGCCCATAACATTTTTCAATGGGAATATCTAGATTTTTTAGTATATTTAAAACTTCTTGAGTCATTCCTCCAGCAGAATGATCTTTTAACTCTAAAAAGCCCAAAAAAGTTTCTTTGATTTCAAACTTTTGAGATAGCAGATATTTATCTCGAATTATGTGACACGTTCGAATGACTATACTTAATTGATCTATATTTGTGATATCTTGAGTTGTATTTATTTGTTTTGTTAATTCAAAAGTAAGTTTTTTGAAAGGCAATCTATCAATTCATTTTGAATAGTTGGGCTAAGATATCGCACAGATCCAGAAGGCATTTCCACCACCTGTTTCATAACATCGTCATAGTCTGACAAAAATTTCACTTGAGCCATAAAATTCCCACTAAAATCATCTTGACGTTCACGGTGCCCCCGAAATGACAAGGAACATTTTGCCAGAAGTAATGTAATTTTAAATAATCTTAGCAACACCATTTTCCAGAAGGATGCTTGAAATCTGATCTCTTCTTCTAGGTTCTTGTCGTTGGCACGATTTTTTGTCCAAAGGCCGTGAACAGCGCAAGCTTCAATATGAGCTTTGCTTTTACTGGGCTTTTCAATGCGTGATGATAAATGTTACCAATCTCTTAAGCCCGTACTCCAGTGACTGCACAATTTTGAGAAAAGCCAACAAGATTCACAATACGCTGCATCTAGTACAGTTGAATAGCACAGCCAAAGATGATTGACATGGCCTATTTTGTAGAAGAAAAATAATAACTCTCACTAAAACTGCGATCATTTTGGTTCGAATCCTTGGGAAATGGACCTTTAGGTCTGTTGGGTTCAAGACTAATAATAATCTTTTTATCTTCATCAGAAAGAGTTTTTCCCATGTAAAATCCAAGATCGCTACATACAGTAATGTTGCTATTAGAGGAACCTGGTGTAGTAAACATGACATTACTAATAACTTTATCAAAAGTAAAAGTCTTAGTACAAGGCAAAAGTTCTTTAGAGGTAGAACAAGAAATAAAAGTTGATTCAGGTGTCTCAGAAATATTGATAGTTACTTGTTCTTTTTCAGAAGATTGAGACGCTTTAAACATTTTTTCTATTTTAGCATGCTTTTTTAATTTTTCCTCTTTTTCTAATTTCAATTTTTGTTTCTGTACTCCAGACTGATATTTCCGCTTATCTTCCATTTTTATTTTTTTAGCGTTTTGTTCTGCAATCTGCTAATCCTGCAAAGAGAAGAATCACACAACCATTTTTAAATGCATTAAATAGTTCGATAGTTGTGTAGCAATTAAACTGTTTCAAAAAAGGCATCTATTTTTTTCTCTCAAGTACGTCGAAAATATTGTTAGAAATGACGAAAAAAAATTCCTGTGAAAGTAACAGCTCTCAATATTAATATTAAGTGGTGCCGCATCGCAAATTTCAATTTCCCTCGAAAAACTTTTGAACGAGTAGGTTTATCGGAAAATTGTAAGAGACCT